AAGTAAACAGTAAATGACTTTGGATTATAAAAGCTCTTTTTTCAAAAACTCAACTCATCTGGAGAATTGCCCATTTACGTTGGATTTTTTGTACCTTTCTTCATAGACTCTCCACATCAGACTTTTGTAAGCGAAAATAATGATTAATATCAACCTAAATGTATGAAATTGAACTTTGAATGTGTAAAAACTAAATGAGCAAGTATATTTGACAGTAAACCTTGATAAAAAACTTCATATTTGATTGAAAAAAAAGTATAAAAAGTTCCATAAACTTCAAAAAATTCATTTGCTTTATTTAAAATCTCTAACAAAGCTGTGAAGTTATCAAGTTTAAAAGCATTTTGTTCACATGAGAATATTCAACACGGAAACTCGAAAAACGGAAGTAAAAGTTTTCATTTATTTGCATAATGAAGATTTTATGTGAAAATTAATTTTTATCTCCACATTTTCTACTTACTGAATTCCAATGATTTCAATGGGAGAACTTTAAGTTTCTCATGAAGTTCCTCATTCGATAAAATATTGACAGACAAATGCAAAAGTACAGATTATAACACAATATTTCTTAGAAATTGAGTTTAGAGTGGTAAGAAAAATTTTCTTACTTTGAATTTCTCATTGAATATAATTTAAATTTTTTATGCCTTGTCGTTGCATGTACACGTTCACAAGTCTATTCATTTTCTGCTTTTACTATGCAAATATTGTAAAAAAAAATGTTTATAAGGGAAAAAAATTCTTTTCATTTCCATTAATTTTCCATCGTGTCACAATTTTATCTCCCGTCATTGAAAAAATATTTTATTTTGTGAATGCTTTTTCCTCCCTGAACAATTTTTTTTTGTCGTTGTTGAATGGAAAAATGAACTTTACATATTTTCACATGCAATGTGCATTTTACTTATAATAGCTTTGCATCTGTTTAATAATGAAACGTTGTTGAATAACATGAATAATGTGCTTGACCGATAGATATCGTACAGATAGATTCTACTCACATTACCAACATCATGAAAATAATTCTATTGAAATGTGAAACGAAACGATTTCTAATTCATTAATCGGTTCTCGATTTTATTTTTAACGTGATTATGCATAATAAATTATTTTGGTTTAGATCGGTTTGGTTTGATTAAAATATATGACAGATTTAGTGAGCTAGAGGTTTTGTGGCTTGTTATTCTCTAGCTCATGTTAATTTCAGTCAAATTTTAAAGCTCTGGATTATCAATATCAATTTTGTTGACAAAATTATAAGCTTTAAAACTTTGATTTGAAATTTCAAAAATTGAAAATCTTAAAACATTTTTAAAAAGTAGAAAGTCAGTAGATTTTAAAATTTAATAAACCGTTAAAATATTACAAAAGAATCAAAATTGCAAAAAATCGTAAAAATTGAAATGCGCCTCTTAAATTACGATAAAAATCTTAACAGACTATTAAAATTGTGTTTACACAGCGAATGAATTTTGTAGTTTATCCCAAGCTTTTTAAAATAAATTTTTGAACATATAAATGCATTTACAATATGATGACTATTTTTACTACTTTTTTGTTCATTTTCGATTAGTTTGTATCGACTCTCGCTATATAAACTTATAAAGCCTGGCATTTAATCAAACAATATTGTTATGATTTTGAATGAGCTAAACGAGAAATTCTCTTTTATTCTGAAGCATGTGTACATCGATGTTTGGTAATGATACGTGAAATTTATTTGATGATAGAATAATTTGAGATTAATACAGCCAATTTTTTTGTGTGATTCAATAATAGCTGAATGAAAAAACAACAACAACAAATTATTGAGTTTATTTTCGTAGCGATTATGACAGATGTAAAAAAAACTCATATCTAAAATAAAAATAAACTTTTTTTCTCTCGTTCAAAACACACGAAAGAATGTAGAGAGGTAGGAGAGCGTGAAATTATTGAACTTTCGGTTTTATTTGCTTGATGTGAATTTTTGTTGGTTTAGCAGTTATTTTCAAACAAAATAGATAAACTCATCAATTTATTTCAATTCTTTTTTATTCTCGAATTCATGAAAAAAATTATCATTTATGTAATAAAATCAGGAAAATGTTTTTTGAGTACCTATCTTGATTGTGTATGAAAAGTTTTACATAGCAAATATTTGAACATTTTGGGAATTGATGCTGAAATAAAGTTTAACATTTTATGAGGCTCTTGACTGAGTTTTAGTTGAAGTTTGCTTTAAATTTTCTAATTGGGACTTAGTAAAGTTTTTGGTATTTGTCAACGTGAAGAAGTTTGTTGTGAGGTCGTTCATAAATTACGTTTGAATTTTTTTGAGGTGAAGGGGATAGATGACGGTATTTTTGAATAAATTCCTAGGTTGGATACGTCCTCTAGGGTGTAAATAAATCCCAATTTTCAATTAATTATTAAAAAGGTGTCAAAGCTGTCAATCAATATAATTAAATATAATAAATATAAACTCATTATAATTACTTAAATTCTAAAACACTTTCATTATGACAAGGTGCTATATGCTGCAGGAAACATTTCCTAAAAAGCCGATGGCAGCATCAAAATTGCAGTTCCTTGAAATTCAATATCATGCCAATCACAAAAAATTCATTAATCCTTTCAGCAATCACCATTGAAATTCACAAACTTATCGATTCTGATTCAGACAGTCTTCAATTTCAAAATTGTTTGAATTTCAGCCATAAATGTTACAATGCAGTTACAGAAGAACACAATCACTACAAAAATGAGAGAAAAATTTCCATAGATTGAATAACGTATAGCACATGCATCACTGTGGCAACGAAATGTTTCAATTCACTTGTATTAGATTTCCTGAATTCTGGGAACTGTCTATTATCCTAGCAACAATTCTATCCTGCAGTAATGAAAAATAATACTAATTCTTCCTTTTTCATTTAAAGCAAGGCATTTTCTCAGAAAAAAATTTAATTCTCAATCTCTAATAGAATTCAATGTGATGTAGTCGAGAATGTGACACACGCGAAAAATTTCTTCACCACACATTCCATATCCCGCATACTTTTCATTAGGGGTCATTTACTTATGATATCTAATCGAAGGAGCGAGGAGGGGGTGGGGGGGGGGCTTATGCATTTTAAAATAATTTAAACTAAAAGTAGTGAGATTGAGTTGGGTAAGGTCTGTAAATTATAAAAATTGATTCACATCATTCCTGAACATCCCAACTGATGTTTATTTTGGTGTGAAAAAATATTTTTTTTTCTCATTTGTCGGTTACTTATGCAATGATGATTTTTATTAGAATTAATTGCGAACTACTTGTTTGAAAACTTGAGTTCCTGTCAAATTAATCTTCCTGGAAACTTAATAAAATTAATGAGTAATCCTATTTACCTTAATGACTCTTCTGCAGAAGCAAGTTTATTTCCACAATATTAAAGTCAAAGTGTATAAATATCCACAAAGTCGTGACCCACGAGAAACTTGAAAGAATGCAAATTCTTTCATCTTAAAAGCTTTCAAACCATAACCACAAGAAATTTGAATTAAATAACTTGGGGAAATGTTTATAAATTAACAAGAAGGAAAAAGAATAAAACGAAAATAAAAATGCAATTAAGAGACAATTTGAGAGAATCAATTTCTAGCCAAAGGCAGTTTTAACATGTTGGAAATTTTTTTTGGATGTAAACTTTTCATCGTTTCATGTTTCGCTGAAATTTTACGTCAAATTAATTCTTTTTCTCAGCGTGTGGTTCAAACTTTTGTGTTACATTGCCTAAGTCTTAAATGGTTTGAAAATATTTGTCATGTATGTTGCTGTATGATGAAATTTTAAATGGAATTTCCTTCTTGTTCTTAACCCTTAGCGGTTTAATGTCTTTAAATAGAGTTTGTTTATAATCTTTTTTGGATTAGCACGAGTCATGGGCGTTGAATCAGAAATTCGATTTTCTCAAAGAGCTCACATCTTCTTCCTAATATTGCCATACTCCTAGCTTGGATAGCTTAACTTTGTTAGACTTATTAATACCTCGAACATCAACGTAGATGTATCCTAACCTAGAACTGAACTTAAAAAGTTCTAATTTCTAGAATGTAATCCTCAGAATTTTACAACCCATTATTAATTTCAAAAAACCTTAATAATTTAATAAAACTTATTTACAAGATTCTAGTTTGAATTGAAAATTGTCAACTGTCAATTAAATTTCAAAACATTCGTTACACCATCGCCCTAATCATCATTATTTATGAGCTCAAATCGAAACTTGATTTATTAAGGAATATTTATTTGAACTTTATCCAATAAAATATGAAACTATGAAGGGAATCCATAAATAGAATCTGAAATTTATTAAAGCAAACACACTAAAAGAAAACTTAAATAAACATTTGTTGTTATAGAACTAATATTGAGGCTATTTAAGATAAAAGATTGATTTGCTTTATGATTTTTAATTAAACTATTTATTCTTCAACTCACTTGAATGGGCTTCCCTTCATATTTGATTTGATTTATCTACTCATTTCCCTTCTCTGTTACAATTTAATGCAATGTTATACATCTCGTATCTTACTCAGTTACTTACTAATTTTGCCTCTTGACTTATAATTTCATTTCTACGATATATGAAGTTAGTATGTAATGTAAATAAGAAAATTTTAAATAATCGTAAAGATAAATGTAAATTGCAGACATGAACGCATTTTATAGGTGCATTTTACGTGTTTTTGAGCACGTAAGCAATAGCTGTAAAAAATTCAATTTTTTAAAAACTGTAAAATTTCAATTAACCTGTAAAGTTGAGTTTGAAATTATAATTTTATAGAACCGTTAAAATTTGTGCAGTTCAAAACCTTTAAATTTGAACTAATCAAAAGCTTAAAATCGTTGAACTTGATTTTCCACCAAAAAGTTCTTATTTCTGAAAAATGAAACTCGTCAGACATAACAAGTGAATGAACCACAAATAGCTTTAGTTTTATGTAAATAGCAACTTTATTATTCATCTATTACAAATATATAAGAAAATACTGTTTGAAGAACACACTCGTTTAACAAGATATTGCAAATAATCTGGACAACATTTTCAAGTTTTTGTAAATGCATCCAATCTATCACGTCAAAATGAGCATATTAGTACAATTGCTTTGCTAAAACGCGTCTTTAAAAAATCTATTTACCATATAGATATATACTTTACTTATGCATGTGTATATATATATATAGATATAAATTTTATTTGCGTGCGCATTTCTATCTTTCTCCGTTTCTCATTCAATTTTATTTATTCATTTAAAAAAGGGGGAAAAATAAGAAAAAAAATAATGCGAGTAAGTAAGAGAGATAGAAAAGCGAGTGACAGAGATAAAAAAAGTAAATTTATGCTTATTTCTTTAAAGAATCCATTTGAAAATCATTGATAGGTTTCTCGGATATGATTTGAAACGATCCACGGTCTTTCCACCAGTGTTTTATTAGCTTCATGGGACGTGGCAAACAAACAAATATGAAGAAAATCAGTAAACCTTGCAATGCATTGATGATATCGAATAAGGTTGAAGATGTTTCATTATAAAAGGAAATTATTTCAAAAATCCAATTTACTGTCATGATGAGTGTCAAGTATGCAGTGCTTTTCATTCTGTATGCAAAAGAAAAAGAGTGAATGAGAATGAAAAAAAAAACATTTTTATGATGAGACGAGTGAAGAAGTGGAAAGAAAAATAAGATGAAGGAAAATGGATGTTAAGTGAAAAGAGAATCATTGAATTTATTCAGCACATAATTAATGTGGTAAAAGTATAAACACTTCTTTTCTCGTTTCATTCCAAATTTCATATTCAGATTTTTCCTTAAATCGGAATAACTGATTAAATTATACATGTATAATGGCAAGCCCTTATCGTTTATGAATGTAAGCAAAACATTAAAGCATCTGTATTCAGGTGGTGTTTTCATTGAATCGTGTTTTAAGAGGCCTTTGAAGGATTAAGTTGTACTCTAAAGTCTAGATTTTGATGAAGAAAATCTTACAAATCCTCGTGATGTTGCAACCGTAGTAAATACAGATTTTGGTTGTAACTTGAGCTGTCAGGGGAGGTAAACTCTTTAATTCAGTAGCTCTTAAGCTTATTCAATAAAGCTCGCCATGCCAAATCATAATTTAAGGTGAACTAGTCAAACCAGGTTTCCAAATTAGGGTTCATTGGATGTCTACTAATTATGTTCGTGATGAATTTAAACTGGTCACAAACACAAACAAATCACTTCCAAATCAGTTTAACACCCCTGAATCTCAAGCATTTTACATTAAAAATTTCGTACCAAAAAAGAAACTCTTCCACGAAATTGAGATGCCTTCAATCGATCTTCTAATAATACGGAGATTAAAATTTTTCGTTCGATATTTTTTTCCTCTCTTGAGGCTTAAAAATTTTACCACATACAGTAGCGCTCAAAATGATAAGGACAGCAACATTTTTGTCACACTTTTATTAATTTTGACGCACAGGATTATCTAAATTTGCTGAAATATGGACCAGTTATACAGTTTTAAATGTTCTTTTATACAATATATACTAATTGTACTTTAATTAAATATTTTTGAAAAAAACGGTAAAAAATCAAAATGGCTGCCGCTCAAAATGATAAGGACAGTAGATTATGTTAAGATTTTATTATATTAAGTAATATTATGGAACTTTTAAGACTTAAAACATTATGTTTGATGAATATTCTTTAAATAAATTTATAATTCACGCTTCTAGATGTAAGACTTCTTACTTAATTTTAGTGTTTAAAAATATGTGAAAATTTTGTCAATTTATGATAAATTTTCGTACAGAAACTTGTTTATTCTTTAGGTTAACTACCAAAAATTATAGATAATTTGATTATTTATCAATTTATGATCAAACATTTAGATAACTGTTAATTAATGTAAATTTTTTTCAAAAATTTTATTTTTCCTTTGCGAAATTTTTGTGAACTTAAGTCGACAATTTGAAAAAAAATTGTTAAATATTCGCAAAACAATGCTTAAATTAGTATATTTCTCTTCCATTTTAATTGTTTAATAACATATATCAAGCAATTGAACGCTTCGAAAGGATTAAGTGACTAAGCAATCGTTCTCTATGAACTTCTCAAGACGAAAAAATATGAAGAAATATTTTTTTGTAAAATTGTTAAATTTAGCACTCATAGAATACAAAATAGAGTGTTATTCGATTAAAAAAGCCAAATTTAATTATTTTATGTTAAAACTTCACTTATGTAAATCATATTTTTTTAGGTTTCAACACATTTTTCATTTTTGCCATATCAAAAAGTCTTGTTGGTGAAAGAGAACGATTGCTTAGTCACTTATCCTTTCGAAGTGGTTCAATTGCTTGATATATGTTATTAAACAATTAAAATGGAAGAGAAATATACTAATTTAAGCATTGTTTTGTGAATATTTAATAATTTTTTTTCAAATTGTCGACTTAAGTTCACAAAAATTTTGCAAAGGAAAAATAAAATTGTTGAAAAAAATTTACATTAACTAGCAGTTATTCAAATGTTTGATCATAAATTGATAAATAATCAAATTATCTATAATTTTTGGTAGTTAACCTAAAGAATAAACAAGTTTCTGTACGAAAATTTATCATAAATTGACAAAATTTTCACATATTTTTAAACACTAAAATTAAGTAAGAAGTCTTACATCTAGAAGCGTGAATTATAAATTTATTTAAAGAATATTCATCAAACATAATGTTTTAAGTCTTAAAAGTTCCATAATATTACTTAATATAATAAAATCTTAACATAATCTACTGTCCTTATCATTTTGAGCGGCAGCCATTTTGATTTTTTACCGTTTTTTTCAAAAATATTTAATTAAAGTACAATTAGTATATATTGTATAAAAGAACATTTAAAACTGTATAACTGGTCCAAATTTCAGCAAATTTAGATAATCCTGTGCGTCAAAATTAATAAAAGTGTGACAAAAATGTTGCTGTCCTTATCATTTTGAGCGCTACTGTACATCCTTGAATAGATTGAAGCTATAAATTTTTTAAAATCAATAATATTATTATCGAGAAGTCGACTAAGAAAGGATGAAGAAGATCCAAAATACATCAAATAGTTTGTTTTACAAAATTTCTCATACCTTTGAGCAAGGCAAGTTCAATGTGAGTTTATTCAACAAAAATCCAGCTGACTCGGTGAAATTAAAGATTCGTTCGTTACTCAAAAGTTTTCTTAATGAACATAGTAAAAATTGTAAGTGTAATATCATGTTTCGGAATGAGTAGGCTTCATATGTCTTCAATTTAGAGTTCATAAATACATATGGAAGTAGAAAATTACCCGCGTTTATTTCCCACATCATAATACTTCCCTATTAGTACCACTATAATCAAGTTGATGATTAGCGATAGCTAATTTTCTTATTTATGCTGCTATTATGATTTTACTTCTGGTTTGTTTGCTGAGGGTGTGTAAATATCGTCAAATAATTAATCAACTTTGGCTTTCTTCACTCCTGCCTACAATTTGAAGGCGCTTTTGCATCAATTGCCTTCCCACAATTGCTTATTGCCACGTTTATGCTTGATAAATGACAATTTGCAAATGATTTTTATTTTTTTCTTCATTTCTGTTTCTCTCGCTGTCTCAAGTACGAAAAGATTGACTATATACGATAATTTGATAACTATATAAGAACTCTTTAAGTAGAAATTAACGAGCAGTGGAGTTGCTTGAATGAAACATGAAAAAATGGGTCTAATTGAAGTTAATTAATTATTTTTCGAATGGCTTTTTAGACGAATTTCATTGTTTTTGTTTTAGTCTTTTCTTCATATTCTCATTCTATCCCATTGCTTTTCCTTTTTGCTTCTTGTCCATTCTACTTAATGCCTTTAAATGGAGAATTGAGCAAGAATAAAAAAGGGAAGAAGAAAATCGACAGCAAAATAAAGTCTTTCTTCATTCATTCATTGAAAAATAGCTTCAGCACAAAAGTGGCATTTCTAGGGTATACCTAGCAATGTACAGAGCAAGCAAGCAAGCTCTACCAATGGCATTCGTCCGTGTAGTTTTCTTTCCTTTTTATATGGAAAGAGAATTTTTTATTTTTTTCTATTTCTATTTTTAGCTTGTTTTGATAGCTAAAAGGTTGTCATTGTTAGTGCTTCTCTGGATTGTCTTCTTGTCTCAAAACATCGTAAGATGCAGAAAGCTTTTTTCAAATTCCTTAATTCTTTAGATTCTACAGCTTTGCCCCATAAAATTTCCAGCATTAAGATTCACTTGCTAGATTCACACATAAAGTTTGAAATTTATGTCCAATTTTTTAAAGGTGAAATTTTACGATCGGCCACTTTATTACTGAATTGTTATTTGAATCATGAAAGGATCAAATTTTTACTCAATAATTAACTTTTTGACCTTTAACTTGACAAAGTCTCAATCTTAAATTCTTGAAATATTGAACACATTCTTCATGATACGACAAGTAGCCTTTAAAGGCAGTGTTGTTGATTATATTTGGATATTACTAGCTTTCTAATCTTTAGATTAGAATAAATATGTCGGGTTGATACTGTAACCTGATTAGTAAATTGAATAATCAGCCACAACCAAGAAAGCAAATAGAATTGAGTCTTGAATCAATGTCACGCAATGACAACACTAACAATTCAGAAAGTATTACAATAATTTGTCTAAACCAGACATGAGCTCATATAACAACACTGCCTATCCAGCACCCCACACATATTAAAGACTATAAGAAATAATGTAAAATGTCTTTATGACAACCAGCGTGATACTGAGCCTACATATTATTATAATCAAATTTGATGCCTCAATGAAATAAAATGCGCCACTGAATATGTCCTGTACATACTTAGACCCTAACGATTCACTTGCCTTCCTTCCTACACAAGACAAGTCAAGGAGGGAAATAATGGAGTAGAGGAAAAAAAGGAGGAATTTTCACATCTTTTTAACTGCAGCACAGAAGAAAAGAGAAATATCGAAAATTGAAATGGTCGGTTTTTGAGGTAAAGAAGAACTAAGTGAAAGAGGATGAATTGAAAGAGAAATAAAAATTAATAATTTTGATTGAGAGAATATTCTGTCTCAATTGTGTATAACGAGGAGGTTTTCAAGTGAAAGACAGAACGAACAAAAAAGAGTGAGTGCTTTTCGCTTAAGGGAATGAAAAATCATAGAGGTGGAAACCTTAATAAAATGAATGAAAAAACATTATACACACATTACTGAATTCTCAACAGTAAATACAGGATAATGTATGTAAATATGTCTATATAGGTTTCGTTTGTTTATCCTTAGAGTATAATTTATTCGTCTTGAAATATTAAAGTCAGTATAGTTGTGTATGTGATGTATGTGATGAGTCTATGGCTGGCTGCATCAAAGGAGCTATCATAAAAAGGGATAAATGTCATCTTAAACGAGTTATCTTCTTATTTATCCTATAAAAGTTATGAAATAAACTCATCTAAAATTTAAAGTTGATATTTATGACGACTCAAGTATGATCTCTTTGAAAGAAATTCTTGTTCATAATAACTTGATAGATGAGGATAACATTTCTGGGACAATGAGAATTCTACTACGGACTGGAGTGAAGAGGATGGAAAGTATGATATAATTTTAGTATGTGTCAAATTGAGCATATGAAACTTTTGAAAATGTGACTTTTTCTTTTGTGGGAGCAAAAAAAAAATGCTGTTGCTGATTTTATTTACTTGAGGTTTATTTGATATGAGAACAGTAACTTTTGTTGATTTTACAGATTTGCTGCTGAGTCAGCAGAGTTAAGTTGAATTAGCTGAGCCAATATAAATTTATTGATGCTGAAAATTCAAAGGCTTAATTGGCTCAACATTTTTAAAGCTTACTATGATAATAATAAAAATAATATGTAGCAAAAAGTATAAATCTACCCTGAATTAATCCATATCCGTTTGCCTATTTTCCTTCTCGGAATGGTCGAATTTGTATTAATAAACAAGCTTCAAAATCCTTTTTTTTTCTTGTGCCTTTGCCTTTGATACCCCAAATAAGTTCTCGTGAATTTAAAGTATTTCAACAATACCAAGGAATGTTGTCGCTTTATTTTCCATCCTCGCCTCATCAAAGTGGGATGTTTGATCTTATGAGAAACAATAAAACGTTCAAAGACGAAAAATGGAAAAATGCTTACGTGATGATTCAAATATAAATAAAATTTTATTTTTTTTATCACAGAAGGCTTTTCTATTTATTTTCATTGAAAATGTTTTGTTGGAATTTTACGCCCACTGATTATCGTGGAACAAGAAATGTTTTAAATGAGAACTGCTCATTTGACTTTTTTAAAAAAAAATAAAAAAAAAAAATATGAATGCGTTTAAAGTAATATAATATATTATAATATATTTTAATAACTAGTAGCTTGCTATAGTTTTGTTTGAAAAATCAAAAAAATTAAACTACTTTGTGAAAAAGGTTGAATATTCATAAAATTTAAGAGCTCTCGTGTAAAAAGTTTTTGCTTCTTCTGCCGCTGAATGTGATGTGTATACATAAACCAAAACTATTTCTACCTCAAAAATGCCACGTTGAGAATTTTCTGGGATATAAACGGTGGAATATGAAAGCTCTCTCATAATAATTATCGCTTGATACTGTAAAATGTATGAAGTATCAGTTTTTTTGAAAGATACTTTTTTCGACCCTCGTTACAGCCTTAAATTTTATGGAAAATTCTGTTTTCAATGGAAATTAACTTTAACTTTTTTGATCTTTTAAAAGCTCCTTATTGATCTGATTAAATAATATTTTATCAAGAAAAAAGAGCGACATTAAGTCTTCATTTTTAAGTACATTTACTAAGATCAATAAATTATTTGACATAATGATTTTAGTCAACTCCCAGACGATGATTTTTTTTCAAACTTATTCTACTGATCTCCTATTCATCTCTTATTTCAAACAGAAAGATCCTTAAGAGATCAAAATTTCAACTTCACAGTAGTTCACAAAATTTCCAAAATTAATTTCTAAAGCTGCCAACTGATAAATTAGTTAAGTAACAAGCCATAAGAAAAGTTTGGTAGAGACTGCAGGCAGCATCCATTATCCTATTATTCAAGTAAAACTTTAGACACATCAATTACCAATTGTTCGGAACTTGTAAATTTTCAAGAAAATCTTCTTTATACAGGTCAAAGTTTATGGCTTTATATCATGAAACATTAATTTTCATACAATCTGTTCTCTTTCTAATGTATTCAGTTACATCTTTTGTGATGAAGGAGTCAGAACCTGTATAGTTTCTGTGTTTGAGGTCAGGGTTGGTAAAGCTTTGAGGATCAATTGTCAAATTTGTTAATTGAATATTATTTAGAAGTTACTGTTCACATAAGATAATTCAAAGAAACATTCAGGTCGCATATAAATCCATTACCAATACAACAGCTCTGCCTGTTAAGCTTAACATCTTCCTACGAACTATCCGAATAAGCAAAACTTGTCAAAAGAAATCTTGTAGTTGAGACAAACTTTTTGATTTAAACATGAAAATGATTCAGTAAAATTAATTTTAGATTTTCATCAAAGAATAATAAGAAGGAATTAACAAAACAATAAATTTCTGTATGGAACAGAACAATAGTAGGAGAGGTAAAGTTGTTATAAATTTTGCTTGCTCATTCCGCATATAACAGAAACGAACTTGTGACTGATATGCTTTCATAAAGAACAGTTGATATAGCTATTAAGTATATTATATCATATTATCATGCTATAAATTGTGTAGTGCTTCTAATGATAGTCATAACGTACAGTGTCACACCATCGTCTAGTTTAATTACTGCCATAAACATATATTCTATGTATTTAACATCAAAATTTCAAAAATGGTTAGGATGGAGAGGTCATTTGATAAAATGGACAAAGTAATTGAATCAAAATAGATTAATAGACACAGATGCCGAGGAAAATAATGTCAGGAACTTATAGAATAAGCATGCTTACAGAATAATTGAAAATTGAGAGAATTTCACGCATTTTAAGCAAGTAAATGTATGATTTTATCCATCATCATACATTGTGCTGGAAATAAAAGTGATTTCAATTTCGTTCAGGGACTTCGACAGTGTCAAAATGGAATGAGATCTATTGTTGATGCTGATACACAACAAAAAGTCTTCTTCCACCTGAAATCTTTATCGAATTTGGAAAATCTTTAGAGATATTTATCTTGTGGAATACAATAAGACTGTACAGCACAATGCACACATTTATAGTATTAGGGATATATGGCATGTACTTTTATATCTCCATACTGTGTGTGTGTGTGTGAATGAATGAAGTAAAAGTTTTTCGTCTCTTTCTGCCTTTTCATCCACAATATCTGAATAGAAAAGATTTTAAAGAGATCAAATCCCAGGCATGATTTGGTTTTATTTCTTATTCCATGATAGAACAACTTTTTGAGCTCTCTCTGCCTGCCTCACTATAAAGTTTTGCATTTTTGGGGGATTAATCGAAAACTTTTGAATATCATTTGGGAATGAAATTGAATATAGTTATTTAAAGCGTCTGTGTGCAATTTCCCACTCCTACACTCCATCTCTTAATCTTCCTTTTTCACAACTTTTTTGTGTTCCGTGGCAAAAAGGATGTGGTATTTTCTCACATGTTTTTGGTAAACACCGTTGTTGTGTATAGCTGGGCACATTTTTAAATATTTTCAACTTTTTTGTCCTTAAAATTAGGAATGTGTTGGTGTTCTCAGTGATGAATTTTTTAAAATGGACATTAGGATTTTAGAAAGATTCATAAATGACTCTTGTTACAAATCAAACTTCCATAAAAGTTAAATAAACTTCACTAATTTATGACCTCCTGCTAGTCACATCCTCCGCTTACAATTTTACTAAACGGTTTACATTATTTAAAATTTGATCTGTTATTTTTAATTACATAAATGCCAAACAGGCTTGAGTAAGAAAATTTAAAGCACTTTTGACAACAATTTGTTAATATTTTTCATTATTTAAGTTATTTGAGATCTTCATTGAGTTCTGTTTATATACATTTCATCTTTTCCAAGGTGACAAAGATGTTCTCTTTATTTACTTTTTGAGTCAGATATTATGGAGTAATTTTATTTATACTTAATGGGTATTAAAATTTAGTATTATTCATTTGTAAACATGACAACTGTTTTTGAAATTAAATTTTGTTGGTTAAATGAATCATTTTATTTCATTTTGCTGTTTTAATATTTGACGCACGTCTATGAATTAATTTTAATGACATTACGACGAGTTTTTGAAGTGGAATAATATATTTTCAGCAACTGGTTTTGATTATTTTCATTTCAGTCATCTCCAAAAAGTTCATTAAAAAAATATTTAAATTTTGGATCTTAAAAATTTCTTTCAATTCGTAAAGTTTCAAAGCAAAAATAAATTCCATCCACATGATCTGATTCAAAAGCTTTAAAGGTTATTCTTCAACTATCACTTAAGTCCTCTCTTCTTTCGCACTTGATGAGAAGAGGAAGTGACTTTTTTTTTCTTCAATATTGGTTTTTTCCTCTTAAGTACAAAAGAAAATCTTTACTTTTTTGCTAAAGGAAATTTCCTTTTTCTCACTTCATCCTCAACGAGAATGCGTGTATCACATAAAAACCTCTAAAAGCTACATTAAGACCTTTCTCTTCCCAGAGAGAAATGAAGAGATGTGTTCAATATCGTAATATTTATTCTTATTCACTCTTAAAACCTATTTCATTGTCAATGTGAAAGTGACAGATTTCCAATTCAAAATGCGAAACTCGTCGTCGTGGATGAGAAAAAAGAAGAAAATATAAAATTTACGGACGATAATATTAGTCTACATTTTTTTATGATAATACTCAATCCTCCATTATTGATAGCCTACAGGTTATTGCTAAGTATCAGATTCGCTTAGAATAATAAAGCATAAAACTCCCCGAATAGGAATTGAAACTCAATGCCCAATCCTACTTTTATATGTGTATCCATATATTCATATGGACAGGGTTGTAGCAAGGGAAGTCGTGATCCAGAAAATCAAGTGAGGATCTAATAGTTTTGACAATAGACACTGAATTGTCACCTGGCTGTGTTTGAATAACACCTAGCTTTCGACTCTACTCATATATCTTAGCTATGTCACTAAGCCCCTATCAAAAAAAAATGCCAATTTATCTGTCTACACTCCTGCCCATCCATCCATATGTAAATACGACAAACAAAAACAGCAGCTACAGTACACAGTAAAGTATATCTCATGTATATTTCATATAACGTCGAGTTAGTTTTGTCAGGAAGGAGGAAGAAGGAAAAAGGAAAGAACAAAATTTAAAAAAGCCACGAGGGTGTTACAAGAAGGAGTAGGGCGATAAAAGGAAGATTATACTCACATTGTCTCAACTTTCTCCATATGTGCAATATTTTGCGACGATAATTTATTTTCTCTTGCACATTTCTTCAGCTGAAGCATTAAAAAGTTTGATATCTTAATTTTTTGTAATTTTTTAAAACCAAAGTATGATAAGACGTATAGAACAATGTTAAGGAACAGTGTAGCGCTTATCGGAGGTATGAAAAACATTTGTGATGTACGAGCAACTGTGAATGAGGAAGGAAAAAAAAGTTTTATTAATTTTGATAAAGTTTCTAGTTAATAGCGCATCCTTTAGCACAAAGTTCTTATATTAAGATTGATTACATTTGATATAATTGATTGATTGATTGTGTATTGAAACTTGTAATGCTTCACTTATCCTGTTGTTATGAAGCTATTTTGTATGTAAAGTTACATTGTTTTTAAGGTAACAATACAAGATTTGAGTGGGAAATTGAATTTCGTATTTCCCATTGATTCAAGGCTTAAATGAAATTCTGTTTTGATGTTAGGTATGTAAAATTTTTATGCCAAGGGATTTTTGATGTAAATTTCATGTTTACAAAATTTTTTGTTTCTTAAATCTTCAATTACGGGAGTTTTCAACTACGTTTTACGCACCAGTGCTGATTTTATTTATTATTATATTCAGGCTTTGGACACTTTCAATTTTAATTTTAAAAATTGTTTAACCCTTTAAAAATATATTTGAGTTTTTCTAAGAATTTTTGTTTGAAAAATTTCAAATATTATGTGACGGTTGAAAATTTAAAGAAAATGATGGAATGTTCAAAGCCTGATCAATTTCATGTAAGAATTACTTCTAAAATGTAACATATGTAATTTAAAATGGAGAATTTTATTGGATTAGGGTTTATTGAAACAGAGATGTGAGCAGTCTGTGAAAGATATTGTGTAATGCAATTCGATTCAATTTAATGTGGAATATAATCATTTTAAAATTGGCTGTCGCATGAGCGTCGACAAGTTATTTGTTAAATCAGTCGAATGATTACTTTAGACTAGAAAGTTCACTTTTTATGGTGATTTAAACTTTCCTGTGCTTACATTATTTCTGTAAGTCTTAGAAAAACTTTTTGAGATGAAAAACAAAAAAAACTACATTTGAAATTTCCGGATGTTTTATGATTCAAACTTTTGAAAACTTGTTTTATGTCTTTTGTTTTTATCTTCCTTTATGGCTAAAGTTAAGATAGCTTGAACTGTCATACATTATGCTTCCTTAAAGTGAAAGCTGTTGAATTTTTTTTATTTACTGAAGAAAACTCAAGCTGGAGGTCTGATCTAATTAAAAATTTCAAAGACTTATTTAATTAAAGGAAGTGGAAAGAAAAGAGTCTTTCGAGAATGTTTAAAATTTGGCATAAGATCGCTACACGAATAAACAGGTGCCAAGAATAAATTGTGCTCACCGTTTTGCTCAATCTTAAGTTTTTTTCTTCTCTAAATCCGATGTCGAGATTCCCCATTAAAAATTACTTATAATTATTTTTGATTACGTTAAATAAGACTTTACGATCTGAACTTTTGCTAATTTAATTAGCACCTATTTCTTAACTCCTCAAACAAACAAGTTAGCTCTAATTAAAACAAGATTCAATTACTCAATGATTTCTTTGGTTAACGCCACGTGCTTGTGCATTTAAATTTTTTTAAAAGCGATGATTAAAGTGTTTTTCTGAGAATTTGATTCCGCTAATTAGAATCAATTGATAATTTGCCACACGAGAATTTAATTCCGTTGATGAATCAATTGTATTACATTGTATTGGACAGACTTGAGTCTATCTTGTGTCTCTAAAGAATGAAGATTTAATTTTGTTCTATTGAAGACCTTCAATATTCTTATCTGTATTTACAGGTACAATCCAATAAGTTCCAAAAGAGAGATGAAAAATTAAAAATCTTCGAAAAGTTGAATCAAATTTATTTGGATAAACTCAGCAGAGTTGTTGGAACCGACTTTTTCCTCCAGTAAGTCAATCAGTAAGAATTCTACTTCTGAGTCTCAACTTTATTTTTAAACTCATTTAATGACAACTCTGTATTCAGTTCAATATTCAATCGCATTACGATTGACTTTGTAAAGAGCGAAATATTTCGTTTCAATCCTATTGAATTATGGAAGTTTTTATATCCCCAAAAGGAAGTTAAAAACATTTTTTTTTGAAGAAATTGTAAAAGGTCATCCATAAAGTATTTGAGCTATCTTTGTAAGGAATTTAAAATCTTATCAACAGAAATGAAAACATGAAAAAAAAAATTAAATTTTAAATGTCCTTATGTGTTATTCAATTCATCAGTATCCTTTGATCCTTCCTTAAAAATTCAATTATAATGGAAATATTTATGAGTTTTATCTCGGCATGTCTAGCAAAACGAAAAGGGTAAATATCAATTTATGACCTATCTTCCTTTTTTCATTTTGATCAATTGAATTGAGATAAACCGATGTCCATTAATATGTGTTGTAACAGTATATAATAAAACATACAAAAAATATTGCGGATTTTGCTGCAAGCACAAATTTATCCAATTGGCATGACAGGCTCATTACAGGGGTCGACTGATTGCCAAAAAATAATAAGAAGACCTATTAAATGGGACTGGAAAGCTGAAAATTTCATATCGCTTGGGTAAATTTCAATTAAGCACAGACAAAGAGCGAATAATCACTGCTCAAATAGACCATCTGTCTAACGAGTCATTTCCGCAAATTTTAAAGCATTTTAATTTCATTCTTCATGGGAATACTCAAGACTGTCTATGGATAATAAAGAATTCCATTAAACTAGATGTATAATTTTTTATAAGTTTGTTACAACAGCATAATAGTGGATTATCCAACACATTTAGTGTCATGAAATGTTATTTTAAAAGATAGACATAAAGTCAAAGTTCCGTTTACGTTACATTATTTTTATTATGAAATGCGCTCAAAAGAGTAGAGTGGAGATTAAAAATAACTTTACTATGTGTATTATAAGAATAAAAAGAGAAAAGAAGCAGAAGAGATGTAAAAAGATGAAGAAGAGCTGTGGTATGAAGTAGCATAAAGTGTTAGGGACGAGCAAAAAAGCTCTTTAAAGAGCGAGATACTTTTTTTTTCATCACATTTTTTATGAAGATTGTAATGTTTAGTTCACTTTTTGTTTACTGGATCTTTTTCTATCTTTTTTTCTTTTGAGAATTTGCTTTTTTTGTGAAGCGCTTGATGAATATTTTCATTACAAAGGATTGATCTGATCTGGAAACTTAAATTATTTTTTCGCTTCGCAAAAAAATTGCTTAATTAAAGGGATTTTTGTAGAAAACAAAAGATCAGAATTTCTTATAGTTCATTTGTGAATGAACTCTATTAAACTATAGAAAATTTGAATTTCTGAATTTTACAGTCTAAATTATCTTTACGTTGAACTCATTAAGCTAAAAGCAAGCATCTGAAATGCGCTATGCTCATTTATTTTAAAGATAAATTTCAACACTTTTTTTTCCTTTGGAGTTTTCCACTATAGATATAGGAAAAGTCTATGAATTATGTGACATGAAAAAATTCTTCTTCTCATATTATTTTTTTTTTGTTCTTTTACTGCATTAGCCTTAGGTTTCACAAGCATTTTTTTTTCGCATAATTTTTATATTTTTTTGTTGCGACGAAGCGAGAGAAAAGAAATAAATGTAATGAAAACTTTTTTCTGTTCTCCTCTCGAGTTGCAATTACTATCTACACATTTCTCCCAACATAAAGCATGAATGGCATATAATAATAATAATAATAATAATAATAATAATAATAATATGTACATATTATATAGATGTATATAAAAAGAATGATTTTTCTCTCAAGAGCCCCGGTGCAAAAACCGGAGAGTAATAGACAGACACTGGAAAAAGTTTCTCTAACGTATTAAGAGCTTTTTATACATATAAAAAAAATATCAAAGGTCTAAGCATGATGGAAAGCTGAGGGAGAACTTTTTTTTGAGGTCAATGAAAATTGTTTAAAGTTTTTTTCTTTCATTTCCTCATTATCTTTTCACTTGAATGCTTTGCTGGATTATAAGCATACATGCTCGATAAATAAATATACACATCCTTTCAATATCAACATTAGCCGTATACCAATACATAGGGCAAATATCAAATGTAATCGATAGATTTATCTGTTTTATAGACATATAACGCACCCTCCGTAGTTCCTTTTAGATAATACGATGGAAGTCCACTCAATTTGTTTTTATAAGTTAAAATCACGAGAATTAAGGGCAATCCAAAGGCAAGAATGCTATAATACATCAAGTGAAGATTATCGTCTTTGGGCGTTTGCTTGATACCTCTCGGTAAATAATACCAAGCGTGTATACAAATGTCAATCCACATCACGGTTAACCAAAAGAAGCACGATATAATGCAAAATTGTATTATGTAACCTGGAAAATAATAGATAAGTGAAAAAACCTTTTTATAAAAATATATAATCACATAATTTAATGAACGCACGGTACAATAATGAAGTGAAGGCTTCTAATACATATAAAATAAAAGATAGAAGCGGAGACAGTTAGAATGAGATGAGAATGGAGCAAGAAATAGAGTGAAGCAGAAAATCAACATGACAGGATAGTGGAAGCGATTTTTTTTTTCGTTTCTTAGGCCGATTAGTGAAGCGATTATACAGTAATTACGATAATGTCGAGTAATTTGAGTTCCTATTAGACTACTGTGAGATGATGTGTACCTATTGAAGCAATCTCGGCGTATTAAAGTGATTGAGAGGATTAAACCTTCCATTTAACTTCATTTCTCTTCTTGAAAGTGAAAATCTGGCTTGAGTTAATATGCCAGATTTTAACCGCTTAATCACATTTGAATTCAATCATGAGACAAATTTGTAGCAATTTGCCAGATTATAAGCAAATTCGTTGTTTTAAACCCTTTGAAAATTAAATTTGAGAAAATCATAGTAATCATTGAAATTTTATTTTAAAGTCAGTTTTGATGCTGGGTTATAAGTCCAGAGATTATAAGTCCAGATACAAAAATCATGCACAAAAAATTATAAGTCCAGAAAATAAAAGTGACTAAATACAGCTGGAATTATAAACTGAACGAGAGGTTTTTAAGTCCAGGTACATTTTATGTCTGGACTTATAAACCTTACGTGTGGTTCATAATTCCAGAAAAATTATAAATTTTACTTATAATCTCCCAGTGCGATTATAAGTCCAGATACATTTTTCTAAACTTATAATCTTTGAAAATTATTTGAAAATATTTCCAATTTTTTTTCCTTTATTAAGTCTCTGTTATTGAACTTTAATGCCTTAAAGTTGAACATCATAAAAAATCTTTATCACTAGATATTTACTGAATCCTAAATGTAGCAGCTGATGTTTTTAGCACTTTTAGAAGCATTTTAAATTAGCGATTTAAAAGAAATCAATCAGAAAATCCAAGATGACTGAAGTTTTTTCGACTTCATACATTCTCAATTTTACTCTAGCACCAGTTGGATTTCGATCATGTATATGTCAACGTATATGAGAAAGTAATAAGAAAGATCAGGAGCAGGACGAATCTTACATTTCTGTATACTCGTAATGAACATTTCATTTTTACTTTTCTTTAGTTTTTGTGAATTCTACAGATGAGTTAAATTTTAAAAAAATAAGCTTTTTTGATCCATATAATTTGATCACACCGTATTCACGTGTGAAAGTATTGTTTTTGTTTAGATTGAAAAATCAGTTTTTCAAATTTTGTGAGGAAATGGAGCAAGATAGCATAACATGTCGAAAGATGAAAAGTTTGTGCCTGAAATTTCACATCTTCTATAAGCACAGATTTTAAATTGGTTGCGGCATTGCTGAGAAAATCGCAAAATACGATTTTGTAAGCTGGATTGTTTTTGGGCAAGGTAGGAACAGCCCACTATGGGCCAGAAATGGAAAATTTTTCCAAAAATTATTTCTACAGCTTATATGATAGTTCTTATTCTGCCCTACATTTACGTCCTTAAAACTTTGCCCAAGTCGACAGCATGTCCGAGATATGGCACTTCAAAGTTGGTCAGACGACCATTTTCACGTTACATTGAAAATGCTCTCACCAGATACTGGATGGATGAATCTCCTTCAAATTTTTTTTATTAATAGCTTTAAATTGTTACTTTATTTTAAAATATAAACAATTGCAAATAACTTTGGAAAATTTTGTGAAAAACTTGATTTTTCTCAAAAACCACGTGTTCGTCATACTTTCGTTTGTGTAGGTCTTCACAAGCACAACCAAAGTTACTAATTTCTTTTTTATATTAAAGACTACATCAAAAGCTATAACTTTTGCATACATGTCGTATAATTTTAACAAAGTTTTTATAGTGAAAAAAAATTTTTTTATAAAAAAAACACCAATTTTTTGACAAACATCGCTGTAGTGCTTCAGGGATACCCATGGTAGTGGAATTTTATTTCACATTTAAAAAGTTCTCTAGATATACTATCAATTAATGCAATAAAATGAACAAGTGTTCTCTTGGCAAAGAGCACTTTTTTGACTCTGAAAGTCGTATGTCGAGCAAGGTCAAAAAAGAAAAATAATCATAAAAATTTCAGTTTTAAATAAAATTTAATTTTTTTAAGTTAGATTGATAGATCTTTTCAAAACGCGTCTTTTGAGTATAAATATGTCATAGTTTTGTCAAGTTTCATGATCATTTTTTTAAAAAAATAGTTTTTTTCAAAAAAAAAATTGAAAAATAAAGTATTTGACTTTAGAATTTCATAAAATGCATTCTTTTTATCATTTTTTTCACTACTTTGTCTAGTTTTGCTCCTAGTTTTTTTCCTAAACATAAATCAATAAGAACTTAACATAATTGAAGCCATTTGGAGGTTAAATTGAGTTAAAAATCGTTTAAAATTTTTGTATTTCTCAAATAGTTCTTTACACAAGTATCTAAGATATAAAGTGTTGCATAGTTTTGAAAAGGTATTAAAATTTCCAATATGTTAACATGAAGAGTTTTGGAAAATTTTCAAGTAATATAGTCAATTTGGGTAAAAAACGCATTTTATATATGCTAGTTTTTAATGTTTTTCGTTTTTCTCAGCAAAGACTTTATGAAAAACTCTCAAAGTTTGCACACTTATTTGTTATATACATGTAAATGACTCGTATAAGTTTTGGAATTTTCCATTGAGTTTTTCATGAGTTCTCCAAATCTGAAATTTTCAATATTAAAAATTCATTTTTCTCAATAATTGCGATTTTTTATTTATAAAAAAATATCTTATTTTGTTTCATTTTTCAATATCTTTTCATTGTTATATAACAATCTACGAAAAAATTAAGACTAAAGAGAAATCAATAAAAAAGTGTCAAAAATTTTTGAAAATTCTACGCTATTTTAATTTTTTAAGCCTTTTCTGGTCAATTGCTAAGTTTTATAAGAGTGTTATACCTTTTTGGAATTATATAACTTAATACTTTCATCCACTAAAATTCTTATGAGTCTACGATAAGCACAACTGAAGTTAAATAAGCTTCACGTTGGCGACAACCAAAAATTTTGAATTTTTTAAAATCAAATTATTTAAAAGCTTTAAATTATATCTTCAGGCTGCTATTAAATACATGAAACATTTATAACAAAACTAGATGAAAAAGCTTAATATTATAGCTCAAATAGCAATAAAATTAATATCTGGTTTTCTTCATATGGAACTGTCTTTTGTCGCCAACGTGAAGCTTATTTAACTTCAGTTGTGCTTATCGTAGACTCATAAGAATTTTAGTGGATGAAAGTATTAAGTTATATAATTCCAAAAAGGTATAACACTCTTATAAAACTTAGCAATTGACCAGAAAAGGCTTAAAAAATTAAAATAGCGTAGAATTTTCAAAAATTTTTGACACTTTTTTATTGATTTCTCTTTAGTCTTAATTTTTTCGTAGATTGTTATATAACAATGAAAAGATATTGAAAAATGAAACAAAATAAGATATTTTTTTATAAATAAAAAATCGCAATTATTGAGAAAAATGAATTTTTAATATTGAAAATTTCAGATTTGGAGAACTCATGAAAAACTCAATGGAAAATTCCAAAACTTATACGAGTCATTTACATGTATATAACAAATAAGTGTGCAAACTTTGAGAGTTTTTCATAAAGTCTTTGCTGAGAAAAACGAAAAACATTAAAAACTAGCATATATAAAATGCGTTTTTTACCCAAATTGACTATATTACTTGAAAATTTTCCAAAACTCTTCATGTTAACATATTGGAAATTTTAATACCTTTTCAAAACTATGCAACACTTTATATCTTAGATACTTGTGTAAAGAACTATTTGAGAAATACAAAAATTTTAAACGATTTTTAACTCAATTTAACCTCCAAATGGCTTCAATTATGTTAAGTTCTTATTGATTTATGTTTAGGAAAAAAACTAGGAGCAAAACTAGACAAAGTAGTGAAAAAAATGATAAAAAGAATGCATTTTATGAAATTCTAAAGTCAAATACTTTATTTTTCAATTTTTTTTTTGAAAAAAACTATTTTTTTAAAAAAATGATCATGAAACTTGACAAAACTATGACATATTTATACTCAAAAGACGCGTTTTGAAAAGATCTATCAATCTAACTTAAAAAAATTAAATTTTATTTAAAACTGAAATTTTTATGATTATTTTTCTTTTTTGACCTTGCTCGACATACGACTTTCAGAGTCAAAAAAGTGCTCTTTGCCAAGAGAACACTTGTTCATTTTATTGCATTAATTGATAGTATATCTAGAGAACTTTTTAAATGTGAAATAAAATTCCACTACCATGGGTATCCCTGAAGCACTACAGCGATGTTTGTCAAAAAATTGGTGTTTTTTTTATAAAAAAATTTTTTTTCACTATAAAAACTTTGTTAAAATTATACGACATGTATGCAAAAGTTATAGCTTTTGATGTAGTCTTTAATATAAAAAAGAAATTAGTAACTTTGGTTGTGCTTGTGAAGACCTACACAAACGAAAGTATGACGAACACGTGGTTTTTGAGAAAAATCAAGTTTTTCACAAAATTTTCCAAAGTTATTTGCAATTGTTTATATTTTAAAATAAAGTAACAATTTAAAGCTATTAATAAAAAAAATTTGAAGGAGATTCATCCATCCAGTATCTGGTGAGAGCATTTTCAATGTAACGTGAAAATGGTCGTCTGACCAACTTTGAAGTGCCATATCTCGGACATGCTGTCGACTTGGGCAAAGTTTTAAGGACGTAAATGTAGGGCAGAATAAGAACTATCATATAAGCTGTAGAAATAATTTTTGGAAAAATTTTCCATTTCTGGCCCATAGTGCAGCCTTCAGAAAAAGCAAAAAATCTTCTTTTTACGATTTTTAAAAACCAGAGGTTATTTTGATTTTTATAAAATTAAACTTTGGATGAAATAAATTTAAAAAAAAACTTTTAATAACTTTTGGCATATTCGGTAAGCTTTAAACTTTCAAACATTGAGTATACTGAGTTTCATATATTATTATACGCATTGAGTTTTAAAATATCATTTTTTACACGGATTAGGAAAATAAAAGCTCTAAATTTTTCGAAAACATAAATTTACTTCAGAAAACAATTCGTTTAATTTCTTATCTTTGTATGATGATACAAAAAGTTTTTTGACTTTTAATTTTTAGTTCCAAAGAATTGAAAATTATCCTTGATTAAGGCATGAAAAATCTTAATAAGTTATTATCAAGGGGTATAATGAAATACAGCAGCTTAAAAGGATATATAAGGTACTTTAGAGGAAAAAAATTATCAAATGTGAATTCTTTGTGTGAAGTTTTCAAAAATTCATGTGTAGCCTTAAAGAAAAAAATTTAAAATAAGTTTCAAATAATTTTCAAAGATTATAAGTCCAGAAAAATGTATCTGGACTTATAATCGCACTGGGAGATTATAAGTAAAATTTATAAATTTTCTGGAATTATGAACCACACGTAAGGTTTATAAGTCCAGATAGAAAATGTACCTGGACTTCAAAACCTCTAGTTCAGTTTATAATTCCAGCTGTATTTGTACCTGGACTTATAAACTGCACGTGAGGTTTTTAAGTCCAGGTGCAATTTGTATCTGGACTTATAAACCTTTAGTCACTTTGATTTTCTGTACTTATAATCTCTGAACTTATAGTTTCTGGACTTATAACCCAGCATCGTCAGTTTTTAATCAAGTAAGACGTGTTTTGTGAGTTCTTTAAGTTTCTTGATTGCATTTAAAACTTTTTGGATGCTTTTAGTTTATTTGATTAAATATAGTCTCAAGTTTTGTAATAGATAGAGAAAACCAGCAAAGCTTCTAATCAAATTTAAATTTTCAGCAATCAGGATTACACAAAATGCATAGCAATGCTTTTTATTTTAAAAAATTGTCTTGGAAACATTTTTTTCCATAAAGAATGCTCTTGAATCTTCTGCTTTCTAATTCATTAAGAATCAAGTATGCACGTATGATTGCGGTGAACACAAATTAGATTTTAAATTCCATTAAGACATAATGAGCAAATAACAAGAACCTTTACCGTACAAAATAACGCTAAAAATGTAATAATATTGTTAACGTAAATAAATGTGAAATGATGTATTTGGAGTGTGAGGTATTCATGTGATGTATATGAATATATATGTAGATTTACATAACGATGGGGTTCTAAATCACCTATTTAAAGAGTTTGTCAAAAAAATGTGAAAATTTCAATTATATATTTACGTACCTTCCAAAAAGAAGACGTCGTCTCTAAATTGTGATATTGCGAGGAGCAGAAAACCCAATGCTAAGGATATACTGTGACACGCCAATGATTTGCCATGCAAATCATTCAGCTCGGGGACTAAGAGATATAATGTAACTGTCAATAATAAACACTACAATAATAGAAGAGAAGTAGAAAAGTAAACAAGTTAATGCTTATCTCAATAATGTGCACACAAATTTTTTTTATTATGTTTTTTTCTCGCTCTCTTTGTCGTTTACTCGCGCCGCGTTTTTTTTTTCTTTTTTATCAATCTCGCGTTCCTCTACACATTATGTCATTCAAGCAATTGCTAGGAAACTCGAGCCGAACGCATAAATTACATTCTTTTCTTCTGAACTTGAAGCAATTCTGACTCATTTTTATCGAAAAAAATAAATGAAAATATTTTATAAGTCATCCTACTTCTTTTCGGAGAAGTGACGACTTGAAAATATTTTCATTAAAAATTAATAAGTAAGCATGTTTTGATAGGACTTGCAAGCATTTTAACAGCGAAAAGAATTTTTTCTTGGAATTTGGGATTAAATTTGTGCCTTTTTTTTATTTTGACAAAGGGAAGGAAGAAATTGTGAAGGGCTTCAAATTCATGTATTGTATGTTGTACATTATTTATGCTTCTACATTAATCGCATTGTTTGTTTAAAATAAATGTTTTGTTTACGTTTCATTATCGCTTAAAAATTGCGTGATTTTTTTCTCACGTTCATTGAGAAATTTGAAGGTAAATAAGAAGTTAATTGATATTCGAGCAGATTTGATGGGGTGAATATAGAATTAAGGCTGGTTTGAGTTGGGCGACCTGTGTGGGTTTAATTTTCGATGGATTTGAAATTTTTTGTTTTGAAAATGTTTTCAACTGGAATTTTGACAATAACAAGAATTTATGCGCCATTGTCATCAAACTGTAAACCTTATTCCATTTCCTCTTAAACTCATTAAGGTTCATTCAAAACAAAATCAATCACCACGAAACTCTCAACTTTATTAAATTTTTCGGTATTCTGATGCTCAATGAAACTCATTTAGCTTTGGATGATTCAAAAGATTTAACTAGCACTAAGAGTGTATTAAGGGAATGAAGGTCAAATATTAGAGCTGAAGAAGCTTAAAAGTACTGAAAAGAACCATTACAAGGACAACTATGGATCTATTTCGAAATTTTCTTAAAACACCCCAGATTGCTTTTACCTTGAGATAAATAGGACAACCCGTATCTTAGCATTCAGCTATTATCTCCTTTTATGTATGCTTCAATTAAACTTTTACAACTAAATGATGTTGTACATTAGACGATAAACAATAGTCTTATTATTGCTTAATTGCAAGAAACTTTTGCTACAGTCTTAAGCTTTTTGTGGATGTACTTTCGTATAGTTTCAAATAATTAATATAGACAATATTGAGAGACTAAAACTTTTTTTTATAAAGAATAATATTCTGAGAACGGATGGGACTAAAAGCAGCAACGACATCCAATTTTTTAGTTCACAAAATTCACATTTGAATGTCAATCAATTGCTCAATGAAGATTGCCGATAGCGACGTGCTAACTCTAGTAGAAAACTGTCGATAAAAAGTCTTGATTTATGGAAATTGAGTGCCTTTTGATTTCTATAACTCCTGGCATATTTCAGCACATTCAGATCTGAAAATCGTAGGTTAAAGTTCTCGAAAAGGTAATTGAGCTTGGGTTTTCATTAAAATTCAGAGGAAATTCATTTGAATTTGAATAAAATTTAATTTTGACATAAAAAAATTCATCAAGAATTTCAAGATGGGAAGCATCTTTTGGGTCTCAATTAAATTTTTGGAAGAATAATAAAAATCAAGAGAAAGTTTGAGAAAGTAATATAAAGTTTAGTAAGGAATTCAACAAGGGATTAGAGGTTAAAGCGCATTCATACCTTTAACATTCACAAGAGTAAGTCAAACTTCTTACACAAGCATGAAAAAATCTATTATTCAAAGATGTAGTAAGAAAATCCGTATCAAGACTTTTTGGGTTGAAGCCTCTCTTATTGTCATAGAGAGGAAACGGAAATTAATTTTTCTTTTTAGTACTTCAGTGCTTGTTGTAAATCATTTTACGAAGAATCGAGTTTCATGATGAAGAATTCAAGAAAGGATCTACGTCTATTTTAATGAGAAAGTACATTAAAATATTGAAGCACAAAAACTCAAATTAACAGAAATGAGGGATTAAGGAACGAAATGAAGGTGTGAAGATTTCTATGGAAGCAAACTTTAAACACTCATTAAAAAAGTTTCAAAAATTTTCTTAAATTTTTTGAGATAAATTTCAAAAATTAGATTTCAAAATTTTGAAAAAATTTAAATATTGAACATCTTGGTCTTAAGAAAATTTTTCTGAGTGTATGAACAAGAAAGGAAGAAAAACTGTTGTTTTTAAACTTTCTAGAGCTTTTCATTGTAATCTCCCCGAAAAAAGTCATTAACCGTGAAAAAGTCGTCGTCGATGAAAGTAGCAAGACAAAAAAGGAATTTAACTTTTTCATTCACTTCAAATCCATCAAAAATTTTGTCTTCTTATCAGTTCAAAAAAATTACTTTATCAAACAATTCCTCACACTTGCTTGATGGAATCAAATTTCATGAAATGACGCAATTTTTTTCTCGCTTTCTTGCCACTTGAAATTGAATTTTTATGCCAAAAGCAATGAATTTTCTTCTCCCGCTTGCTTGCTTACTGTGTGAATATCGCAAAGCACTGTGACTTATACAAGCTAGCGAGAGTCAAGAATGAAATAATCAGCGATATTAAAAAGAAGAAAACGAGAGATAATAATCATAAAAAGTAATTTACCGGAACTGATATAATCATGCATGTCGCAAATATGAGAGCTTGGGCACGATTAACCCGAAAGATTGCTTCATCAAATTCACAAACGATGGCCGTTAAAATTTGTTCGTCTTCGTCCATATCAAGGCAATAATGCTCGAAGATGTCAAAGGATTCAAAGTTTTCGTCAATCCTTAGTAGAGATCCATTTTGTATGACGTAGAGCATGTCATTGTAGTTTTTATTGAATATGAGACCACTGAAAGCAAAGTTTGTTTTATTGCATTAATGTTGGATATGCTTTATCTTTATGCTTTTATCTAACTTTCTTATTATACTTTATAGCGCATTCTCTCATGAGGAATAAGGCGATAATATTTGCAATTTGTCTGTCATACGAAATAGTCCCATAGAGAGCAACTATATTGGTTTTAGCTCAGGATGTGATCAGTCGCTTTTATATGAACGTTAAATCTTATTAGCTTTTCATCCCAATTCTCTATCATAAAATAAATTTTCGTTTCATTTTAAATGGATTAAAACTTTTCTTTTTTCTGCAAAAGTTGATTGGATTTTGCTTTCGTACCGAAAATATTTTAATTGATTGTTAGTGACTTTTGTGGATATACCCAGATTACCCAATCACATTATAAAGTTTGTTTCAAATTGACACAATCCTATTTTATTCATTTAAATTATTTTAATTACTTCTCCTGATTAATTTTTGCTCAACTCATAGGCCACCGCTAGATAAGAGAAGTGTGATTATATGGAAAAGTTACGCATGGCAGTCACTCCGAATTACAGAGTGTGGTTTTCAGAATTTGTTGAAACTTCATTTTGTATTCATTTTATTATTTCAAGTGAAATGAAGATAATTAAAATTTATGACAAAAGGATTTGCACTATCTGACTAATTATTGATATTTTTAACTCTATTTCGATTTTATCCCATAAAAATGTCGGGAACATGAGCGTTATTTTTTTAAATATATTCGATCAAATTTTTCGCAAAAACATTTTAACTCAGAATCGAAAATATTATTGCCGAACTTAAATTCCATTTAAATTAATAGCATTTGTTGGCTCTAGCATCGATTATAATCTATTGCTATGAGTAACCAATAATTAATTTTAACCAAATATGATTTTTAATCAGACTAATGAGAATTTTCGGAAACAATTTCAATGATGAATTGTAATCGATACTATTATTTATATAATCTCAAATATACTTCCGCTGTATCTGATTTAGTACTTAACAATAATTGATTTATAATCTTTATATACATTTTAAGTACTTTTCAAGCTCGCATGAGGTAATACAGTTGAATCTTAGCGCGGGAAAAAAACTTTTGTTTATAAAAGCTCTAAATCTTTTTATTTTATGCATGATGTTTTGATAGTTTAAAAGTTTCACTTCGAATAAAGCTTTTACAACTGACAAAATGCACTTATTTTTTCAAATTTCATTGAATATAAACTTTGCAGGAAGATCACAAAGTTTCGACCACAATTGAAGCTTCTAAAACTTTATCATTTCATAGAGAGAATGCGCTATAACTTTCACTTGGTCACATACTTTTTACAACTATTCTCGATCTTGATATCAATGGTTACATCAGATTCCTCATCCTCTATGCAATTCTCATAAAATGTGGCCCGAATGGGACTCACATGAAATTCGAGACTAGTGTTACCACAAAATCGTTTTCCCATTTCAATCTTGTAGTTCTGATGTAGTGGACAACATTTTTTAATTGATGAACGTGAAGATGCCTTTGGTTGATTATCTAATATCTGATGGGGGAAGGTAAAGTTCAAATATTAACTTGCCTCATTCACAGATGAAAAGATTTATGTTAATTCCATGAAAAATGTCAATAAGATTAAATGAAAAAATAAGTGTAAATATAACCTTGTAATCTGAGCAATTTTCTGGGACTTCAAAATTTGTTGGCAGCATTGATGTTGTCATTGATATCGTTGTTGTTGCTATTGTTGAATCGATTTGGAAACTTTTCGTTGTGCCATCAAATGTCGATGAATTTTTTATCACTGTTGTTGTCGCGTTATTTATGCTTGAGGCATTATCTTCAGTCAAGCCGAAAGTGCAAACTTCTAGTAATATTAAAACCACACCTACTGTGACTCTGAGACTTATCATGTTGTTTTTTTTTCTCAATGAATTTTTCATAACTAACACTACACAGGCACACTTTTTAATATATATATTGCTACACACTGTACGATGATGACTCAATTATTGGTTATCATTTATTTATTTATTTATTTTATTTATGGCTGGCTTTATGTTTGCGGAATACAAGCAGCATCCACAAATTCCACTATATCTGTTGATATATTTTATGCTATTTGAAATCAAAAGAAGATTATAGATGAAAAATTGAATTCACGCGACACGTCTGTACATTTCAAAATTGAACCCAAAAATGAAACTTGTGTGTAGAATGTCTACTCTCATGCACCTTATCTTATCGCGATTATTATATCATGACTCAATATCGCACATATATATGAATGTAAAAATGAAAATAAAAACACATCTAAGCATTATTTCATCTAACATGTGTAAAAATTGTGTAAAATATTTCTGATACGCGCGAGGGTTGTGTTCTCTCAAGAAAGAAATATCATAGAGCATAAAACAAAAAAACGAGTATAATAGAAAATGTAAAGATATATAGACATGGCAATAATAAATGAATGGATGAATGAATGAGAGGGATTGGATGTGAGGGAAAATTAAGACGATTGCCGGAAATTTATCGCTGAGACGCATTTGAGTGCGAATCTTGAGATAATCTTAAAAGTTTGATGGATTTTTGCGGTGGAAAGATTAGATATAATTAAGATATGTTAAAGTATGTTACTGAATTATATGTTTTTGTTAATTTCGATCATTTCTGTGTGGTATACTTTTTCTGATTTTTAGGGCTCATGATTATTTCATGATAAATTGGAATATTTATTTTGTAATAGTTCCTGACAATTATATTAAAATATCATTTACAGAAGAACATATTAAAAGAGCCAATTTAATTTTGATCAAAATAATATTTACCAAAAGACTCATTAACGCTTTTATCAAACGATCAAAAACAAACTTCCACAAAGTCCTAAAAGCTTCCTAATATCGTTAAAATGATACTCATATTTTCATTCATATTTCCTAGGAAATTAAGTCATTTCAAACGAGTAAGCAGTCAAAATGCTATTCTATTCGCACAATGATGGCGGAAATGCCAGCAACAATAAAAGCCTTTTGTGTTTTGGATCAAAAGCATTGCATTTAACAAAACATTTATGTTGTGTAATTTTGTGAATATACTTCATTATTTAGAGGATATAGTGCCATAACACACATATATATATTAATTTTCTACGGTAAAATGGAAATATTCCAAAAATTTACATCCATTATTGCTAACGTGCATGGAGAATCTAGGCTTATTGATTATTAAATAACATTTCTGCTATTTTTATGGCTGCTTGGGCATCAAAATTAAATTATAATGTCATTTTTTGAAATCCTTTTTGAAATTTATGACTCTTCTGAACTTTAGACTCCAAATTTGAATTTTTTTCATATCCTGAAGATTTTGTCATATTTTCGACTAATGATTATGCGGGATTATGCAAAAAAAAAAAAAAAAAATTGCTGTTTAGTGATAAATTATTCATTAATTCGATTTTAAAGAATAAAACAGCATAACTCGTGAATTCATAAGAACTTTACTATTGTTTAAATAATTCTCATTAAAAGCACTTCCCACGCATCATGTAGATGAAAATTTTCCTACGCAATTTCTATGTAATTAATATGTAATAATTCATAGTGAGTAATTAGGATTGAAGAAGATTTTCTACTTCTTGAGATTTAATGTTTTCTTAGCAAATAATCAGCCACCAGAGATGTTTTTGAACGAGACGAGAAAATTTTTAAATGTCAATTTTCTCGTACCGAAAATAAAGATTTTTTTAATATCATCAAGTTTATACAGATGCTATATCTGGGTTGTTTGAAATGACACATTTAAAGTCCCTGAGAAACATTATTTCATTGAAATTTTAAAGATTTTAGAGCAGTGTTTGTATGAATTTTGAGAGTAAAGCCTGTTAAAATAGCAAAGCGTTGAAAATTTAAAAATCTAGTTGAAAATTTTCCCGCCACTTTTAGCTTCTCACTTAAAATTTTAATTGCTGGTTTTAAACTTCATTTTACAACCAAATGTCAATAAAACTATTCTAATTGAAAGTAAAAGTTGGCATAAATCTACTAATTACATTTAAAGCTTTGTTTTCATAGTTTAAAAAAGTTAAAAATGCAAATTTAAAAAAAATATTTTCATGTTTATGTTTTTTGTTTGCACGAATAATAAAAATATGCTCTAAGCTCAAATTGTTTTCGATAAAAAATTTATCTTCCTTTATGTGTGCCTCATTCTTATCTAGAACACAATTCTTGACACTAAATTCTGTATAAAAAATGCATAAAACTACCATAAATATTTACGTAATCCCGGTGAGATGTGAAAACTCATAAAGTACTCAGCAATACACTTAAAAAATCATCAATCCACGACATCACATAGTTTGTACAACACTGCACGAAATATTTCACAGTTGGAAATTGTGCTACATTTAAAATATACGGTATATTCGGGTGTATAGCAAAAAAGTCACGTTCGCCATTTCTCACAAAAGGCTTTTCGACCTCAGAACAGTGTGATTTAGTTGCTAATAAGCAGTCGTATTGAACAAAGCACTATGTTTTCCTCTATAAACTACGCTAAATGCCATAAAATATATGTCGACTAAAATAAAAGAGCTAATTCTTATTATAATTAATGTAAATGGACAGAAAGAAAAAAGTTTCATGTAAAACTTTTCATTTTGCACGCTTAAGATTGTACAACTAAGCTCTTTCTTCTTTTCTTCTTGATAGTATTAGCTTTCTTGTACTCATGAACAATTCCTTTAAGCAGTGGCCAAACAAACCAATCTTAGTAATGCCATTAATATGGTACGTTACACTTAATTCAAGAGATTCTTTAAAATACCATAGGTCATGATTTCGTTTCATACATCTGCTACACTCTCTTTCGTACTAAGAAGGCTCATCGAGAATTTAAAAACCTTAAAATTTCTTTTTCATAAGATTATTTCAAGTATAAACAATTCAATTCAGACTCGATGTTGAAAATCATTTCCATTCACCATTCCTTGCCTAATCTCTCTCGTTCAATTCGATATCAAAAGCCGTATTAAAGTGAAATTTTGTGTTTAATTTTCTTATGTCTTTTAATCAGGAAATTTCTGATTGAGTTTGTGTTCTTATTTAAGAAAGCTTAAATAAAATAAAATTTCCTGGCTGAATATCCGATTTTAAAAAATACAAAAGGAGGAAGAAAGTTGGGTATTTATAGGCAAAATTGAGCGGAATAAGATTTTTTTAAATCCCGAGTTAAACATGAACATGAATGTTGACGAAAGAATGCTAACTTGATATAAGTATTAGCTCTAGAAAACCTCAAAAAAAATCACTTTCAAATGCTCATAGCATCTTCATCCACAAAGATTAATGGCCGTATAACGACGCAGATAGATATTCCCAATCGCAATTAATGAATGGAAATTGACAGCGAATGTAATCTGAGGCATTGACCGCAGATATAAGATAAGTTGAGAAACTCACCCAAGAGATTTCAACCCAACAACAGGGGTCGAATTTATGAAGACATTTCGACAAAAAAAAAATCCCAATTTATTATGGTGCACTGGTCATATAAGCGGCTTGTGATAAGAAACCCCGCAATTTACCGCTCGGGTGAAGAGGAAGGAAGGAGAGAGTGAGACGAATAGAAAATTCTATTTCAATGTTCACGTCGAGTCAACTTTTTATAGAGGAATAGAAAATAAAAATAACAACAGTTATAGGCATACGCAACAATGAAAATAGCGATAGAAAAAAAAGTTAATATAAAGAATCTCTCAAGTTTAGTTCCTGTAGTGAATTCTTCGTCTTTATTTTATTCTTCTCTAGTTCCTTTTTTTCGTCCCGAACTTTTCTCGTTAGCTTAATGTTAGCAAACTTTTCACTCTGCAATCATAGCTGCTGTGCTCCCGTTTTTTTGTTGTTGCTGCTCTCCTGAAAGTAAAATTTAATTAAGCGCAGCAGTTATGGCAGTAGAATGCGAGATTCTATGCTTAAAGTTGCAATAAAATAATTGGTAGAATTTTCCCTTCGTCATATAAGATGAGATTTAAAACTTTTTTTTTCTTGCTTCTTTTTGAGAATTCATGATGATTTTTTATGTATACATCCATAAGTAGCTGTCAAGAATATAATATTCATCATAAAAATATTTCAAGCACTTATTCCTTGCTATTTTATTTCAATTAAAAGACGCTATACATTCTCTCGCTCCCGCTACTCACATTTATTCCAGTGCCTTTGTTGTACTAAGAGAATGGTATGAAACCATAAAAATTGTACGCATTACAACACCCACTCGCTCTTTTCACACACAGTGTCTCACTCAAAAGTTCTTTTTTCGTACAGAAACAACAACAAAGATTATTAAAAAAATTCTTCATAAACATTCGCCGTGTAATGGGCAAATTTTCCATACCCGAGGCAGAAAACGCATTTAAGCTTTAAATTATATTATCTGTAAAGCTGTAAAGGAACAATTTTTATAATCACTTGATCATATGATACCTCATATATGGTTAAATTTTATGTTGTGGAAATAAGTTTATCATCTGAGACTTGAAATCCTCAACGATACCTTTCAAAACTTTTTTTGTTGGAGAACGATGCCTTTAAGCTATAGAGCAAGGTAACCATGCACTAAACGTACTCTAAAAATAAAATATAAAATCTGCAAGTCAATTGAAAAACGATCCCTTGGCGGTTTCCCTTCATGATTTATCGTCGTCACAGACAAACTTTACCGATGAAAAATTTATTTTTGAAATGAAGAATTTACGAATTTGTTTCGTATCGAATGTCCTTGACGAGAATTATTGTAATTTTTTTCAAAAAAGTTTTGAATATTTTATAAAACGATTGTTTTTGTTTTCTGTTGAATATTGGTCAGAATTTGGAGGTTATGAGCATATTTTGAAGGATTAATAAGATTTTGGTTTTGAGAGGGGGAATTGGTTAACTCGGCAATACTTTTGTATAAAATCGACTCAACTCGACTTTTCTATTCAAAACCTAGTTGACGACGAGTTCTACTGAGAACTAATGTCCTGTATATAAAGCTGTCATATTTCGACCAGACTACCGCCAATTCATATAACATCCGTTAAATTTATATTCAAAAAAATTCAAATGTTTTATGACCGTTATAATATTCAAAAAATTTTGACGGTTAAACCAGATTTTAGCATGCACTTACTCATTTTGCTCAAATTTTATTGTTAATAAAGTTGAGAATGGATAAAAAAAATATAAAATTAATAATTTATGAAGAACTTTGGGATTTGTGCAGAATTGGTATTAATTAAAATAATTTATTGTTTACATAATGTAACTGTTTTTTGAAATTTGAATTTTCGGCTCTAATATCGAAGAAATCGAAATTAATTTCGAAGAAGTCCGAAACGAAATGACGGTAGTCTGATTTCGACTTCGTTACTTCATATTTTTACACCCTTGAAAACTTATAGTTTAACACCACCAAAAATTCGTAGTTTGACTCCCTTTAATTTTCGTAGTTTGATACCCTTGAATATTTATAAAAGTGTTGCTCGAAAAATCTGAAAAAGACACAAATATTTGATTTTCTCAAAAAAACTGCTAACAAGCCTGAGAAATATCCGTGATGATACAATTAACAATAAGAAGAGTAATGATAATGCTGATGATATAATAAGCAATATGAAAAAGCATTAAATTTAACGTGACAAGAATGAATGTCTTAAAAAGGGAACATAAGTCTCAAAACCAATTTTTAATTCTCATTCACAGGTACAATAATTTAAAGGGAAGATAAGACCAGAGCAGAGCAGTAGACAACCGCATAGACAGTAATAAGGATAGAGAATAAAAATGAATTCACAACTGGGATTGAAAATGCTCATCATAAATGATACTAAAGCAATAGAACATCCTAGAATATAAGAGTTCTAAACTATAGGAAATAATAGAAATAATAATAATAATAATAATAATATGAATAGGAATACGGACATCATGCGAGCCTTAAATTTGGAACATCGTAAAAATAATTGTTGTTATCTGATTAACATTTCCTCATCATTGTGTTGACTTCCTTTCATTATCATCATTTTTATTATTATTATTATTACATCGATTTCTTCTTATTAGTATCGTTACTATACAACACACATATATTTTGTCACTTCCATAATAAATAATGATGTCGTCGTCTTCGTTATCCCAAATGTCGTCGTCTCCAAGTTTATCGTCTTCCTCATCATTCAGCAATGATCATATAACAATAAATAATCATGAATTGATCACAAATGATACCTTACCGAACTCAACAATCAACAGTATATTTAGCAATAGTAGCAGCACTGAAGAAATAATGGATCAAGAATGGATCAAAGTTTTGATAACAGTTTTTACTGCATCTATAATGATATTTATAATTGTAGCCGCCATCTTTGGTAATCTTCTAGTCATCATATCTGTAATGAGAGTTAGAAAGTTAAGGTATGGATTAATATTAATTATTATTGTATGTCCACAAATATTTTCTACTTTTTGTTTTTTTTTATCTATACACAATAATGAATCTATCTTATGGATTGTGTTTATGTTTACAAGAAGGATATACAACATGTAAAATATTCATCATGAGTGTTGGCAAAAGAGATTTTCATCGCTCTCAATTATTTATTATACTCTTTTGTGTTGTGCTTTACTTATTTATTATTTAAGATGAGATTTTATTTGTAACAAGACAAACTTTCAGTCCTACCAATAATACAGTAATGCGATAAAGTATGTAATGAGGGCAAGCTACTACATATATGATTTTTATATCTGAATCTGGTGATGGTTTAATAATTCATGTTGGGGCTGTAGAGGCATGAAAAAAAAATCCTTTTTATTTGTTGACACAATGTGTTTGCCAAACGATTTCTTGACATTCAATGATTTTTAGTATTAAAATCAAGCTATAGAGTTATTAAGTCTTGTCAACGGTTTTTTAAAAATCCAAATTCAATAATTTTCAAATATTTAAATCAAACTTAATTTTTTCAAGAATCTTGATCCTCAATAATTCAAAACATTGCTTTTGAGAGATAATATCCAAAATCTTAATTGGCAATTATTTTTCCATAATTTATCCACTAAATTATTTATCTAAATAAGATATCCTCATTATCTTGAGTCTCTGCATAAATTAAAATAAATTTATCTTACGGCATCAAAGAGATTGACGGAGATTTGAGTGATTTTTAAGAGAAGTTTGCAAATTAGCATAAAGCAGGATAGTTTATTTGTAGGTTGACTAGGTTTTGGTTCAAAACTAAGAATTATTTTATGTCAAAACTTATATTCTTTAAAGATTTTAATTCTTAATCCAAAAAAATTTGCTATGAATCTTAGATATAATCAAAAAACAATTTATGTATCCAGCATAGTCATTTCCTACTTCAAAAATATACAGGAAAAGTTCAAACGATTTCATTTTCTCTTGAATTTATTCGCTTCAATTGCTCGCATTTCCACTAAATAATAAAATTAAACTTTCCTTATTTCAAACTTTTTCTGACAAATGTATTGTTATTATCTCTCATTTTATAACTTTATTTAAAGTATAAAACTCCTTTAGACTTGTTTTTACAGCAAACATCATCAGTTGATTTTTATTATTTCAAAATTTTCCATGAAAATTTTATTTACAAGTTTTCATTAAAAGATTAAAGTAAATACAATTCTATTAAAAATTGATTACGTAATTTATCACAACAGACATTAAGAAACTTCACACATATTGAGTGTAAATTGTCATCAAAGACGTATGATGAAATTAATTTGTAAATTTTGAATGGCAATTAAATGATTGAGTACTGTAAATTGAAAGGAAATTAATGAGAAGTAGCAATTTAATTCTAATTGAATAAATTTAATGGGAATGTATTAATAGAGTTGTGTGATAATCAGATATTTATCTATCGTCTATAGACACTTTAAGTTGTTATTATCAGAGATCGAAGCCGATTTTTTCGGCTTAACTCAATTTTTGATTTTTTTGATAGAAAAAAGCCATTTGACACCCATTTTAAGTATTTAAATTGAACTTTACATGCTTTACTATGATTCTGTAAAATATTTTTTCAGCATGTAGCTATAGTGAGCTCTGAATTTCAAGTTAAAGAATGTTAAGCCGAAATTTAAGCCGATCGGCTTAAAATCGGCTAAATTGAAATTCAGAGCTTACTATAGCTACATGCTGAAAAAATATTTCACAGAATCATAGTAAAGCATGTAAAGTTCAATTTAAATACTTAAAATGGGTGTTAAATGGCTTTTTTCTATCAAAAAAATCAAAAATTGAGTTAAGCCGAAAAAATCGGCTTCGATCTCTGGTTATTATTATTATTATTATTTACTTTAAGTTTTTCAAGTTTTAAAGATTAGCGAAAATTTCAAATTTTTTAGGCGATTCATTTTGTGGTCTTAGATCATAAAAAGAGTGGGCGTAAAGTACGGCCGAGACCCATATCGACACAGTTCAAAAGTTATACCTAATTTATGTCATAATTATGTCAGCTACAAAAACACTTAGTTTGAATTCAAAAAATTTTTTGACCAAAGTACACCACAGAAAATCAATTTTCAATTTTGGACTAGGGGCGACCCTAGTCAAAATCAATTTTGTCACTTTTTTCTTTGAGGGTTTATCCAAATGAATTGAAACTTTGCATAAATATTCTAGTGCTTAAAACAAATACAAAAAAAAACATCCTAAAATTTTTTTGAGCAAAGAACCAAGTAGGAAATACATTTTCAATTTTGGACTAGGGGCGACCCTAGTCAAAATCAATTTTGTCACATTTTTCTTCGAGAGTTTATCCAAATGGATTAAAACTTTGCAAAAATATTCTAGTGCTTAAAACAAATACAAATAAAACATTCTAAAATTTTTTTGAGCAAAGAACCAAGTAGGAAATACATTTTCAATTTTGGACTAGGGGCGACCCTAGTCAAAATCAATTTCGTCACTTTTTTCTTCGAGGGTTTATCCAAATGGATTGAAACTTTGCATAAATATTCTAGTGCTTAAAACAAATACAAAAAAAAACATCCTAAAATTTTTTTGAGCAAAGAACCAAGTAGGAAATACATTTTCAATTTTGGACTAGGGGCGACCCTAGTCAAAATCAATTTTGTCACATTTTTCTTCGAGAGTTTATCCAAATGGATTAAAACTTTGCAAAAATATTTTAGTGCTTAAAACAAATACAAATAAAACATTCTAAAATTTTTTTGAGCAAAGAACCAAGTAGGAAACTAGATTTTGACTAGACCTGTCCCTAGTCCAAAATTGAAAATGTATTTCCTTCTTGGTTCTTTGCTCAAAAAAATTTTGAGAATGTTTTATTTGTATTTGTTTTAAACACTATAATATTTATGCAATGTTTCAATCCATTTGGATAAACCCTCGAAGAAAAAAGTGACAAAATTGATTTTGACTAGGGTCGCCCCTAGTCCAAAATTGAAAATGTATTTCCTACTTGGTTCTTTGCTCAAAAAAATTTTAAGATGTTTTATTTGTATTTGTTTTAAGCACTAGAATATTTATGCAAAGTTTCAATCCATTTGGATAAACCATCGAAGAAAAAAGTGACAAAATTGATTTTGACTAGGGTCGCCCCTAGTCCAAAATTGAAAACTGATTTTCTATGGTGTACTATGGTCAAAAAATTTTTTGGATGTTTTATTTGAATTGACATAATTCTGACATAAATCACATACCAATATTACTTTTTGTAATGCATAGCTTAAAAAAAATCGAAAGCTAAAATTTCGATTACCCCACCTGAATTTTTCATACTCTTCACTGTGAAAACCAAACAAAATTCTTTATCTTAAAACATTTGACAAAATAGCGACATAATTCAGGATTAATTACATTTTAATAATATTTTAACATTTACGAGAAAATGTGGTTCAAATAAGTGTGAAGTATGGCCGCGATTTGGACCAAAATCAGCTATACTGGTTCATAGTGTTCCCGAGGGTGACAAAATTCAAACTAAGTGTTTTTGTAGCTGACATAATTATGACATAAATTAGGTATAACTTTTGAACTGTGTCGATATGGGTCTCAGCCGTACTTCACGCCCACATAAAAAGGGAAGTAAGGTTGATGATTTGGATAATTTTAATTCCTGCTTCTGACTCTAAAATTCCTAGAAATCAGAAGAAAATTTAAAAACGTAAAAATTAGAATTAGAGTTGGAAAGATAAAAAGAATATGAAGACACAAATTATCTTGAGATATAACCTAGATTCTAGAGCTGCCACGCTCTATTTATCTTGAGAAAGAAAAAAACTCAAGAGTCATGTATGTAATCGCATTGTTTTAATATGTCGTCGCATGTTGATGAAATTCATTAATATATTTTCAAAAATTTAAATCTCAAATAATGATTCCTTATACTAATTTTGTAAGGTTCCGTACTCATATTGCTGGCACACAACACAGCAATATTCTGACTAGATTTTCTTACAAATTTTGTAAATCGCAGATTATGTTTCCGTTTGAATTGCCTTGAATCCAGCCACAAGTACGCGAATCTTCTTTTTAAACGAAAAAAATAGCTTAAGTAGATAAAGAGCTTTATGTGCTGATATTTTCCTTTAATTTATATTCAAATGAAAAAAAGTGTTTATACCTGTTGGCTTTAGCAGATGTTTTACAAAAAATTTGTTTTCATTCGTTTTAAAATCTCATCGCAAACTTAAATGGATATGAAATTTTTTTTTCTAAATGCCTATTTTGAAGTTTATCTTCTAAGGAATGAAAGATGACTTAATTAAAATTAGACATTGAAACATTGAAATTGTACGAATAATAAGAGGTGCTAGATACCAATATAAGATTGAGTGGTGCATTCAGTGGTTCAAAATTAGGAGGTTATTGAGGTTCAAAAATCGACGACAAAATCTAATGATTTTTATGGGGGTAAAAATCAACTCCCACAAGAGTATGAATTACAATTTCATCCATAAAAATCTAGCAAACTAATTATGAAAAAGAGATTAATAGAGCACATTGTAGAAACAGAGGAAAAAAAGAATGTTCGATGAAAATCAAAAAATTAATTAAAATTTAACGCTATAGCATCTCCATTAGAACCTTTACCTCACTTGAGATCTTACTAGAAAATTACTCAATCCATCCTTCGTCAAGAATCTTTCAAAATTCACAATTTTAAATATTAAATTTTGTGAAATAAAATTCTTCTTGTAAACATCTTCATAATAATCAGCTTATCATCTCCTTATCGCCACAAAAATCATAATTATTGATGATGATGAATAATTTTTTTCCTCCCTTATCTAAACTCATTATTCTTATTGTTTACTTTTGCTTCTTTCTTTGTTCACTTCCAGAATTATAACAAATTACTTCGTAGTCAGTTTAGCTTTAGCGGATATTATGGTTGCAATGATGGCAATGACTTTTAATTTTAGTGTTCAATTTACGGGAAGGTAAGACATGCAAAATTTGCAGATTTTATCAGAGTTGTTGAAGTTCGTGGAGCTTAATTAAGTTCAAATGGGTTGAATTGTGGTAATTAAAATTCAATTTGGAAAAAATAAACTTAAGATGTTGTAAGTTGAAAAAATACAATTTTTTCTGATTTTGTTATAATTAATTTGTCAAAATTTCACCCAATTGATGATTCAATGAATATGCTTCTAATAAACAGATTTAGTAAAGCTCAATGACTAAATTAAGTAATATCAACGGATTAAATGTGTTTAGAATTAAAATTTATAATTGAATCAGCTTAAATTGAGTGTTTATTGACAATTTATACAATTAAAATTACACAAGAGTTCACAAAAAAGTTTTTAGAGATTATGCATAGCAATTTCATTATTATATTCAGTATGAATGAGACACAGAAGTCAAGAAGAAGGTATCTTATTATTTTTATGATATTTACAAGATTCCAATAATGAGTTTCGCATAGAATTTAGGCACACAAAAATTTATTTAAGTGGTCTCGAGATTAGAAAGCCTCCCTTAAAATTAAATTTAATTAAACCAAATAAAAGCTCGAGGATCAGATAAATTTTCAATTAGTTTTCTGTGAAGATATCAAGCCACTGCCATCATAAACAGAACCACGTCAACAACCTTGATAATCTATATCAATTCCATGTATCTCTAAACATATTTATCTTTATTCATTAATGAACATGTTTATGTATGCACATTCACTGTCATGTGGCTGTTGTTTAGGATGATATGACATGACATGAGTCATTAATTGAGTAGTCGAAAATATATCTCATCGATATTCAGCCAGTAGCAATTTGTTGACTTTGCCTGCTTATTTTCATTTCAGATGGCTATTTGGACCATTAGTGTGTGATCTTTGGAATAGTTTAGATGTATATTTTTCAACAGCTAGCATATTGCATTTATGCTGTATCAGCGTGGATAGGTGAGTAATTATTTCGCGACAAAATGAGCCTAATAATGGAAAATTTACGCACACACATATTATGAGAACAAGAGGAATTTCCGATTGATGTCATTATCGCATATCTCTTTTTTTTTCTTTCGTTCCTTTTCACTGCCTCCCATTTTTAGATATTATGCTATTGTGAAGCCGTTGAAATATCCAATTAATATGACAAAGAGAAAAGTTGCCATCATGATTTTAATTACATGGATATCTCCAGCATTGCTCTCTTTTGTTCCGATATTTGCCGGTAAATTAAACATAAATCTTGCTGACAATTACACATGTGACATTACTTTCTTTTTCTTCCTACTGCCTTGCACACATATATCTCATTATCGCTTCTAATTTATTTCCTTCTTAATAATTAGGCTGGTATACAACAAAAGATCATTTGATATATCAAGAGACACACTTGACAGAGTGTAGTTTTATCGTTAATACATATTATGCAGTAGTATCGAGTTCAATATCATTTTGGATTCCATGTACAATTATGCTTTTTATGTATTATGCAATATTTCGGGAGGCAAATCGTCAAGAGAAGCAGCTGGCAATGCGTCATGGAAACGCAATGCTGATGCATAGACATTCAAATTGTGGTCCATCAAATAACGGTGAACTTAGTGGATCCGGATCATCGAAAACTTTAACATTACATGAGGTCGAGTCGGAGCATACACCAACCAAAGATAAACATTTAATCAAAATGAAGCGTGAACATAAGGCTGCCAGAACTTTAGGAATTATAATGGGTTAATATCAATCTCCATATCAGTGCTTCTCAAACTATTAAACGCTGTTCAACTTACAATAATTGAAACTTTTTGTTTTCTCGCGATTTTTTCGAGTCATGACTAGGAGATACTGTAGAGTGCCGCAAGTTTGAGAAGCACTGGCTAACATACATGTTCGTGCATAAAATCTAAAGGTTTACTTTTCTCCCTCTTTCTGTTTGTTTGATTTACAGGCGTTTTCATAGCGTGCTGGCTACCTTTCTTTATTTGGTACGGTGATTTGTAATTACAGCAATTCGTATGAGGAAATTTCCTCATATTATCAAGTTTCAATGCACACATATAGTAAAAGTATGGTCAATAATTCTTTGTTTCTTAAAAATACATTATAGGTACATCACAACATCACTATGTGACACATGTCCATCACCAGATATTCTAGTCGCAATCCTCTTTTGGATCGGATATTCAAATTCAACATTAAATCCAATCATCTATGCATATTTCAATAGAGACTTTCGGGAAGCCTTTAAAAATACATTACATTGTCTATTTTGTTTCTGGCGTAGGGAACTATCACCATTAGATATAGATGTGAGACGATCGAGTCTTAATACACGTTATGACTCGCGAGCGAAGAGTGTCTACACAGAAAGCTATTTGCGTCCAATACCTAATAAAAATAATGATATTGCTCCTGAAACTTTATAATGAGAATGGATGGTGAAGATGCTGATGATGATGTTAATGCTTAAAGTGGATTTTTCATATATGTGTATGTACGTGTATATCCCTCTCTCATATGCTATGTAGTTAATTGATGGAGTTGAATGGATGTGAAGGAAAAAAAGCAGGAAGATAAAAGGGAATCGTCATTAACATAAAATTTAAATGTTTTTACTTAAGTGATGAAGATGAGAAGAATTAAGTGAAGAAAAAATGAATTCTAATTGGATTTCAGAAGTCGTCTATTCATATACATTTTATAATACACAAGCACTTATATGTGACCTTTAACTACAAAGTTGTTTTTCATCTCTCGTGCATTTCTTTTTTATGTCGTGACTCAGGTCAAAATACATAATTTTTGTTGTTAGTAAAATGTTTGTTGTTGTTGCCGCCGTCGTTTTCATTCATTGCTGTAGCTCTCTCACTCACCGAAAATAATAATAATATGTATGAAGGATAAGAAGAAGAAACTCAATATATTTAATGTATGTTTATTTATTTTATTTATCATATAATTATAATTTATCGTTCAACTTAATTTATCTTCATTTATAAAAGTAGATAGTATACGTACACAAAAGGAGAAAAGTAAGATAGACAAAAAAATATTTGTTTGTTTCACTAAAGTGGATGATGATTATGATGGATGATGTTGACCCACCAATGAAGTGATCCAATAAACACTTATCAATATATTCACTTATTATTCTTTTTTTGGCCTCTCATAATATATTCTGTTTATCCCAGCCGTCAAATGATTGTTATAGCTTCACAATAAGCTTTTTGTTTGTTCTGTTTGCTGTCAATATGAGCTTGACTGATGATTTTGAAGGAATTATGAGTGTGAAGGAAAAACTTTCGCGCCATTTTTTGTTTCTCACTTAAAATTTGTTTTCTGGAATAAAAGGATTCTTTTACATGGAAAAATTGTATTTTGTACTCACATTTATAGAAAAACATTGCAGAAAAGCATTAGTTATAGTTTTATCTTTGAATTAAATTGCCATAATTGATTATTTTGTTTACCAAATTTTCGGGAGACCAAAAAAAAAATCAAAATTCATAACATTTTTTAAAAAAAAACTATTAATCAGACAACGGAGCTCGAAAAACCATTCTTGCTTATGTCTTTAAGAAAACAATTGATAGAAAATTTCCATAACCTCAAAATCAATACAGACAGCTCGGTTTATAAATTTATCAAAATTTTATACTAACCTTGTTTCATTAAAATTTCCAAGAAATATTAAAAGCACCATTTAAAGTCGCCACAATCTTAATCACATCTAGCTTCACATTACAAAAACAACTTAAAGTACAAAAAACACACACAGAACAAATTTGTTGTGAACACTTGCTGGTAATTTGTAAAACTACATGTAAATCTGTTAAACATATCATGAATTTTCTAATAATGGTTTTCCTTGAAACTCCTGTGAAGAAAGTTGTATGCTAGCATGATAAAATGTAATATAACATTAAGCAGCTCAGATGTAATCAATTTTTGAAAAGAGCTTCCGAAGAAAGTTGCGTTTCAGAGCTATTTTGGTTTTATGTTGGGTAAATTGGATAAGATTTAATTAGATTTTATGAAAATGCTACTTATCTATTTATAAGAGTCCAAAAAAAATATTTCAAAAAAGTTTTTTATTCCTTAAAAGTTGATTTTCCCCTGAAATCCGAAAACAATTGAATCCATTAATTTACAAATAAACTTTTGTGCAGTGAGCATTGCTTCAATATTTGCTCAACAAACAATACTTTGTTAAATTAAAGATAATTCATTTTATTTAAATGAAATAAATCCGAAAAACAATGGTGAGTTTATTTGGCAAACAAAATTAAAAGATCTCATTAATTATTTGTCTAGTATCTTTGTTTCTTTTCTTTTTTGAAATAAACATAAATTTAAAATTCAATCTGAGTTTATAAACAGACATTTGCAACATTTTCTCTATTCTATAGAATAGAGCACTCGGTGTGCATTTGCTTAACAAATAAAGAAAAATTATACAATCGCGAATTCATCAATTTTTCATGAAAGAAATGCCAAAGCACTTTATTGTCCAGAATTTAATTTATAGTTTAACATAATTTTTCCATTTTGAGCAACAAAAAACATCATAAACTTCAGAAATTAATGAAATATCAAATTTTTTTATTTTCCGAGCGTTAAACCTTCTGGGAAAAACCTCAAAATAAATTTTTCAGGGAGATATGAATATCAAAGTGATTTTAATCCCACAATAAAGTGTGGTTATTCCGAAAAATTCAAAACAAATATAACACATACTTAAAAATATACAAAAAATTTAATATCTTCCAATTATAACAGTCACTTGAACCCTGGGATTTATCTCAAGTTTCATATTCAGTTCATACATCAATTTATGAACAATAGTTTTATATCTCATAATACAGAACGTATACGTCCTTCCAACATGAACAAAATATAATCAAAAAGCATCTTTAATAAAAGAACTTACTATAAATTTGAATGAAATTGTAAACAGAACTAATAAAAGAGACTTTATTATTTCTTTTTTCATCTTGTTCTGTTAAGTACCTAAATATGTGAAAGAGGTAAAAATCTAAAATTTATTTATTTAATTTAATTTTACCCTCAACTCTCGACAAAAAAGGGTGCTTCATTCAACAATGTTCCTCCCCTCCGTAAAAGAGCACATACAAATTATTGTACTTGTTGTTTTTGTAAGTCCTCTTTCTGCTGAATAAATGTGTTCATGAAGTCAGTTTGCTTAAATGGATGAGATTGAGGATTAATCAATGGAACTGTTAATAAACTTAAAGGTATTCCCAGAAATAGTTGTCATACTTTGGGTAATCCTAACAATCATAAGATCGCTTAGAACTATAGCTAAAGGGATAACTTAACAACTTCAAAAAGAGGAAACCTTAGAAGTGTATCTTAGCTGAAAACAGGAGAGAATGGTGGGAATTTGACACCAGTAATTCAATTCTTGAGTGTAAGCATCCTTTAAGTATTGTTTTGTTTAAGCTATTGTGAAGGTGTGGTATCGAATGTTGAGAATGTTATGTATGTAATCCGATGGCTAAGATACCTAAGTGTTTGTATATCCAATGCGCTTTTGCCTGAAAGAGGATTCTTGGAGTTTAATGAATTTTTGCAACAGCTTCGAAACCAAAAACATTAATTTGAGGTAGATTAGTTAAATTTTGAATGTTTTGCATAATTTGACCTAAAAATCACGCTTCATCAATGTTCATAAACATAGTTAATTATGACTGATTGCTTACGGCAGAAAATGTTCTCTAATTATCCGTCGATGGTAATATTACTAGTAGTTATTATGCTGCAAAATGTAGTTAAACATTCCGTTCATTTATTGAATTTATAATTTTCTATATTTATGTTTAGTTTAATCAAATAATAATTTATTTTTGTATAGAAACTTTATAGTGTGAAAAACTGTCTGTTGTAGTTTAAGGTCTCATATAAGTTTCAACATAAAGTTCTTCATTATTTAAAAATAAAACATGGAAAAAAAATTATAAAATAGATGTTCGCATAGTCTATATAGCAGTACTGAATTTGTTATTTCAAAACAAGAAAAAAAGAAATTAAATGAATCCAAAAATGTAGGACAAGAAAACTATTTTTTAAACATATTTAGTCAAAAGAAGAGGAAAGAAACTTAGAAATGGAAATAAATAAGGACAAAAGAAAACTTTCTTTAAGAAGTAAAACAAGTATAGGAAAAAAAATAAAACTAAATAAAATAAGTCAATGTGGTGCTCTACAAAAAAAAATTGAAATTAATATAGACGTATGTGGTCAGTCACGACCAATGGAAGCGCATTTTCCCATCAAAGATTTTTAAAATTTATAGCAATTTTACCCTCTTGCTCACAATTCCTAGTAACCTTATTTCATACATTTTCCACTATTATCTCCCAAAGAAGTCTTTGTTATCACACGAGCCAGTTGCTGGCTATGATATTGGTTGTACTGAACCATAGGACTAAAGTCCTATGTGTCCTCTCAGTAGTATGACTTATTTGCTTTACAAATACCTTCAAATATCACAGGAAATGTCCATCGACATAACAAACAAGCTACAGAAAGTCAGATAGACAGACAAACGAATACTTTCTTGTTGGGAAAATGCGCTGAAAAATATATTAAGGAAAGATGAAGAATAAATTTTATGTTTAATGAATTTAATAGAGAATGTGAATCAAATTAAATAGTAGAATTCATTTCGACTTTATGACGATAATTTCCTTTAATTTCTCAACATGTACAATTTAATAATCGAGGACATGACACGGTATTTAATGTAGGAAAAATAATAATGTAGTTTTGAAAATTGTTACGGAAACTTTGTGGACGTTGTTTTTTAAATGTGATGTCCCCAATGGACGAATGTTATTTATAACTAGATTCTGTAAGTCATGATTAATGTCTGACATAAATCCAGCTATAAAGTTCATTTGCCTTTTAGTCTGAAAAATACTTTGTTTTTCAACTTTTGCTATACACAACATTTCCACAGAAATGACATTCATTTACTCATCTCAGATGAGAGTCACAGAAGCTGACACATATTGGTCAAATAATGTGCGCAAAATTGAGGTTATGTTCAATTGAATAAAATGATTTTTCTGGATTATTTCGATATTTTTCTTCAATGGCTTGGCTTTTATTTGGTTTTACAGTAAAATAGTGATGACAGTAGCTTATCGGATAGATCTTTGCATTTTGTATAGAATTTCAATATTAAATGACATTTTCGAATGAATTTAAGAACGAATCTGGTAAATTAAATTTTGTGGATTTGGAAGTTTCAATAGATTAAGTTTCACTTTGAGTTTGGTTTCGAAAGAAGTTATTAAATCAGTTTTATTGGAATTTTCTGTGTCCGTTTAGAGTTGATTAAAAGGTAAAGTTTTCAATATAATGGACAAGAGCTTGATCAGTCCCAAGTTGTAATGTAGGGTTTTGCTTATAGCAATAGCGGCACTGCGATCGATGATCTGTTGTATCCCGACTTGAATGCTAGAGCTTTTTATAGTAACTACCAGAAGCACTTTAGTGGTAGCCCACTGCATTACCGAGCTTTTTCAACTTCCAAAAAGCCAAATAAAGTTAAATCAAATTTACGAATTTCTCTTAAAAACTATCAAGTTTATTTACATATGCAAATTTTGTCACAAACCAAAGATTTACAGTTCAAAACTATCAAAAAAAAGATAACTTCATAGGAAGAACAACAAGTTTATTTGTATTTGCTTCGTCCTGGCCCAAAGTCATTAGAAGTTTTGCTAGCATGTAATTTGATATTTTATTTTATTTGGGGGTGGGTATGTACGATTAGACTTTAATGCTATCAATTGACTTTTAAAGCTATCGATATCTATCTTGCTATGCAACCAAAGATTTATGATAGAAAATAAACTATCTAATTTTTCCCATCAATTATGTTACGTTAGCAACTTGTTCTCGGTATATAATGATGGAAAATTCCTGCTTTAAATGGCTTCATAATCCAAAAGTAGAATTGCAGTGAAAAGTGTGAGAAAATTCAAAAATCTGTCAAATAACGGTTTTTTGTCAGTAACTCTTTTATTGGGTTGTATGAAAATTCCAGATAATAGCCAGATAATCCATCACTTACTTATCATCTTCTGCATTAAATCCGTTTAGTATGTTTTTGTCAAAAACATAACCCAAAAGTAAAGAGGTCTGATATGACCCTTAATACACAAATAAGAACAGATTTAAAATATAAATAACCTCAAATGTCCTTAAGCAAACACCCTCATGCTCATTTTACTGCATTTCAATACGAAAAAACAAAAAGTGTGTTGTCGAGTTCAATCAAGTGTAGCCTTGACTTACATTGTATTCAACAGAGCACTTCAACAATTTAACTTTCTTCATTCTCAATCCAGTTTCGTAAGGGATATTAATTATTCCTTTTTTGTGTGTATGTGTGAGATATCTGATTATAATGGCCTAGCTATAGAGCATATTGTAGCTAAACAAGTTTTAAGAAATGAGAATAAAAGGAATTAATGCCATTTGGAGTATGGAATGGAAAGGGAGACAGACCTTCTGTTTCTAATGGTTGAAATGAGACTTTTGAATAATAAATTGGCAAGGATCTAGATTTAATGACTGAAAATTCGACTTACAATCTATTGAAATAGCCTACAAGAATTGTATATTTAACAGCTATAATTAGAATTCTCCCAGCCGTAAAAATAATAAAAGCCTATTTGTGATGGTCATTTGCCAG